GTCATTGATACATCCAATAAAATGTCAGAGAGCTTGCAACTTGAAGTAGGTCAATATTTCCTAGTGGAGTGTTCTCCATCACTGACTGGGTCGTGTGGTGGGTTTCTGATGGGAGAATCTGCGCTGTTTATACCTGGCATCACAACAGCACAATGATGTTTATTGATTTATTGTTTTAATTATAAATAAATAAATGAATCAGTTTTAATATTGCAAGGTAAAGAAATAAGATATACACAATACACAGGAGGATTAGAGGGCAGGACCTGGTATCCTTGATCCTTTTAGTAGTTTAGTCTTGGGATCCCTTAAATCTTTTACCATAAGGTCGAATGGCAGACTTTCTAACTTAATTTCAACACTTGAGGCTGTATCTGGTCTAGAGGTTTAAGTGTGGCAGATCTTTGAAATCTTTCATCATAAGGGCAATGGCAGACTTTCTAACTTAATTTCAACACTTGAGGCTGGTTCTGGTCTAGAGGTTTAAGTGTGGCAGATCTTTTAAATCTTTCATCATAAAGGAAATGGCAGTCTTAATTTCAACACTTGAGGCTGGTTCTGGTCTAGAGGTTTAAGTGTGGCAGATCTTTTAAATCTTTCATCATAAAGGAAATGGCAGTCTTAATTTCGAACACTTGAGGCTGGTTCTGGTCTAGAGGTTTAAGTGTGGCAGATCTTTTAAATCTTTCATCATAAAGGAAATGGCAGTCTTAATTTCAACACTTGAGGCTGGTTCTGGTCTAGAGGTTTAAGTGTGGCAGATCTTTTAAATCTTTCATCATAAAGGAAATGGCAGTCTTAATTTCGAACACTTGAGGCTGGTTCTGGTCTAGAGGTTTAAGTGTGGCAGATCTTTTAAATCTTTCATCATAAAGGAAATGGCAGTCTTAATTTCAACACTTGAGGCTGGTTCTGGTCTAGAGGTTTAAGTGTGACAGATCTTTTAAATCTTTCATCATAAAGGAAATGGCAGTCTTAATTTCGAACACTTGAGGCTGGTTCTGGTCTAGAGGTTTAAGTGTGGCAGATCTTTTAAATCTTTCATCATAAAGGAAATGGCAGTCTTAATTTCAACACTTGAGGCTGGTTCTGGTCTAGAGGTTTAAGTGTGACAGATCTTTTAAATCTTTCATCATAAAGGAAATGGCAGTCTTAATTTCGAACACTTGAGGCTGGTTCTGGTCTAGAGGTTTAAGTGTGGCAGATCTTTTAAATCTTTCATCATAAAGGAAATGGCAGTCTTAATTTCAACACTTGAGGCTGGTTCTGGTCTAGAGGTTTAAGTGTGACAGATCTTTTAAATCTTTCATCATAAAGGAAATGGCAGTCTTAATTTCGAACACTTGAGGCTGGTTCTGGTCTAGAGGTTTAAGTGTGGCAGATCTTTTAAATCTTTCATCATAAAGGAAATGGCAGACTTTCTAACTTAATTTCGAACACTTGAGGCTGGTTCTGGTCTAGAGGTTTAAGTGTGGCAGATCTTTGAAAACTTTCATCATAAGGGCAATGGCAGACTTAATTTCGATGGTATGCAGAGTTGTGTCCCTTATCCGTTCCAGGATCTGCTGGCTGTGTTGATCATGATCCATGGTGTATCACCCTTGCTGTGTTGGTTTCCCCGATGAGGTTATATGTTTCTTTTGGCTTTCATCCAACATTCAGCTGGCTTATCAGCTACTAGGGCCAAACATTTCATGACAGTGGGTATTTCCTGAGGTATATTACGACCCGTAGAGATCCAAGGTACAATAGGTCTTCAGCAACCCCTGCATGCAGTAAAAGGCGACTATGCTTGTCGTAAGAGGCGGCTAACTTGGTTGATGCATGTCATCTTATCCCAATTGTGTGAATTGATGCTTATGATATCAATCACTGGATTGCCCTATCCTGACTTGATTATTTACAGCTATTCATGTAGCTGGAATATTGCTGAGTGCAGTGTTACAAACAAACAAACAAACAAACAAACAATGAGGTATATTACAGTAATAGTGAATGAGTGAGTGAGTTGGTTTTAACGCCGCTTTTAACAGTATTCAAGTTATATCGCGGTGTGTCAGATTAATGTGGGAGGAAAGCCCGAAGTGATGCAGGCCTCAGACGTTTACCACTGAGTGAGTGAGTGAGTGAGTGAGTTGGGTTTAACGCCGCTTTTAACATTATTCCAGTTATATCACGGCGTGTCAGCTTAATGTGGGAGGAAATCCCGAAGTGATGCAGGTCTCAGACATTTACCACTTCGGTGAAACCCACGAGCATGGGTATGGTGCTGACAAACCTAGAAACATAATCGGGGCGACCCGGGATTCGAACCCACAATCATAGGTTTCTGACGTGCCCAAGGGACGCAACTCTGCACAGCGAATCGCGGCGCCTTAGACAACTGGGCCACCCGTGCCCCCTTATTACAGTAATAAGGGGTATCAATTTCCAAGTCACTAGGTGCTAATTAGTTTTAGTTTCATTGATGTTGACTACTGCTCGATCACTGACAAAAGTTATATGTTTGTTTCAAAACGTCCAAGGACCCCTCCCCCACACCCCTCCCCCCTCCCCCTCCCCCACCCCCTCCCCCACCCCCTTTCCCTGTGCTGAATAACAAATGATTGGTCCCTATGCATCCTGTGAGCCTGGAGACATTGCCCCTGTGTAATCATACACTGTTAAATTAATCTTCATTGTAAGCAGTCAAAGAAGGGAGGTTTTCGGTTTTCACAACTTTAATCAAATTGACTCGAACTGCCAATTGACTTGGGCTAAATGTGCCGTTAGAGCGATACATCTCAATTACTTTCATGTTTGAGTGCTGAAACCATGGGTCACTAGAAAATTCATTCCTCATCATTCAAATTCTGAATTTCTCTAAGGGAGATAACACAGCAGAGGACCAATTCCTGCCTTATCTTTGACAAGGTAATCCTTAAGTCAAATCCAGGGAGAGTCTTCGTGAGTGGGTATCTGAAGTCTGCACACTGCGGACCATCTGCAATACAATAGGCATTGATGGGAAACATTTCTCTGGGGAATGAGATTTACTTGTTTCCCATTGTCGCAAATGTCCAGTTGACTGCAGAGATTAGGAGTGTCTTGTTTCAGTGTCTGTATTGTGTTTGCAGTCAATCCCTGCCATTATCCTGGTGTAGTGTGTGTCTCGCTTGCCTTGCATCCCTTCTGTGTCAGAACAGCCTGTAGGGATGCCAGGCCAGAATAGCCCCCAGTACACAATGCTTGTCTCCCGTGGGTATACCAGAATATATCCCCACTATACCAAGCTAATGTTCCCCCGGGAATGCAAGAATAGCCCCAAGAACACTGTGCTTGTCTCCCGTGGATATGCCAGAATATATCCCAAGTTCACCATGCTTGTCTCCCTTGGATATGCCAGAATATATCCCCAATTCACCATGCTTGTCTCCCTTAGATATGCCAGAATATATCCCCAGTTCACCATGCTTGTTCTGCCGGGAATGCAAGAATATAACCCCAGTTCACCAGTCTTGTTCCCCCGGGAATGCAAGAATAGCCCCAAGACCACTGTACTTGTTTCCCCGGGGATATGCCAGAATATAACCCCAGTTCACCATGCTTGTTCTGCTGGGAATGCAAGTATATCCCCAAGAACACTGTGCTTGTTCCCCTGGGGATGCAAGAATTTATCCCAAGTTCACCATGCTTGTCTCCCGGGGATGCAAGAATATATCCACAGTTCACCATGCTTGTTTCCCTGGGGATGCAAGAATATATCCCCAGTTCACCACACTTGTTCCCCTGGGAATGCAAGAATAGCCCCAAGAACACTGTGCTTGTTCCCCTGGGGATGCAAGAATATATCCCCAGTTCACCATGCTTGTCTCCCGGGGATGCAAGAATATATCCACAGTTCACCATGCTTGTTTCCCTGGGGATGCAAGAATATATCCCCAGTTCACCACACTTGTTCCCCTGGGAATGCAAGAATAGCCCCAAGAACACTGTGCTTGTCTCCAGTGGATATGCCAGAATCAATAATGTCCCCAGTTCACCATGCTTGTCTCCCGGGGATGCAAGAATATATCCACAGTTCACCATGCTTGTTTCCCTGGGGATGCAAGAATATATCCCCAGTTCACCATGCTTGTTACCCCGGGGATGCAAGAATATATCCCCAGTTCACCATGCTTGTAACCCCAGGGATGCAAGAATATATCCCCAGTTCACCATGCTTGTTTCCCTGGGGATGCAAGAATATAACCCCAGTTCACCATGCTTGTTACCCCGAGGATGCAAGAATATATCCCCAGTTCACCATGCTTGTTACCCGGGGGATGCAAGAATATATCCCCAGTTCACCATGCTTGTTACCTGGGGATGCAAGAATATATCCCCAGTTCACCATGCTTGTTTCCCCAGGGATGCAAGAATATATCCCCAGTTCACCATGCTTGTTTCCCCAGGGATGCAAGAATATATCCCCAGTTCACCATGCTATTTACCCTTGGGGTTCCAAGGCAGTATCGGTCCAAGCTTGAGTAAGAGCCAAGTACAGTATGAGTGGTATTGTGGGTGTGGCACCCTGATGCTGTGAGTGGTATTGTGGGTGTGGCACCCTGATGCTATGAGTGGTATTGTGGGTGTGGCACCCTGATGCTATGAGTGGTATTGTTGGTGTGGCACCCTGATGCTATTAGTGGTATTGTGGGTGTGACACCCTGATGCTATGAGTGGTATTGTGGGTGTGGCACCCTGATGCTATGAGTGGTATTGTGGGTGTGGCACCCTGATGCTATGAGTGGTATTGTGGGTGTGGCACCCTGATGCTATGAGTGGTATAGTGGGCGTGGCACCCTGATGCATGGTCTGCTGCTCATGCAGTCAGCCACCGGTTTGCCGTGTTCAGACTTGATCATTTACACTCCAACACGATATAGCTTGTAGTTTGTTGGAAGAATATGTTTTCATGAGAATTAATGTTGTTTGATAGGTTACACTTTTTATAAATTTTGTTTTCTTGTCATTTTCAGGCTTCTATGTCACAAGACAATCTCAGCGACTCGAAGTATCTGGGGAACTTGGGATGCTACTTCAAAGATGAAAGGAGGAAAATCGGTGAGTAACAATGGGAATACAGACAGTAACATACTGGCTATGTTGCAGTGTTAGTGAGTGAGTTGGGTTTAACTCTGCTTTCAACAGTATTCCAGTTATATCACGGCGTGTCAACTTGGTGTGGGAGGAAAGCCCGAAGTGATGCAGGTCTCCGAGGTTTACCACTTTTGGTGAAACCCACGAGCACGGGTATGGTGCCGACAAACCAGGATTCGAACCAATGATCATAGGTTTCTGGGGTGTCCAAAGGACAAAACCCTGCACTGCCAATTGCGGCGCCTTAGATGACTGGGCCACCCGTGACCCCGGCTATGATGAAGTTGTGACACAATGTATTGATGATAAAATTATATGATATATTGAACATGATGCAGTATGACATATTGATGAGGCAATTATGTGGTGTATTGACCCTGATGCTGTGACGTATGAAACATTGACCTTGATTCAGTCACGTGACATGTTGTCCTTGATTCAGTCATGTGACATGTTGTCCTTGATATGGTTATGTGACATGTTGTCCTTGATATGGTTATGTGACATGTTGTCCTTGATGCAGTCATGTGACATGTTGTCCTTGATTCAGTCATGTGACATGTTGTCCTTGATGCAGTCATGTGACATGTTGTACTTGATTCAGTCATGTGACATGTTGTCCTTGATTCAGTCATGTGACATGTTGTCCTTGATTCAGTCATGTGACATATTGTCCTTGATACGGTCATGTGACATGTTGTCCTTGATACAGACGTGTTACATGTTGTCCTTGATGCAGTCATGTGACATGTTGTCCTTGATGCAGTCATGTGACATCCTGGATAATCCAGTGTATTATACCTCTATGTTATGATCAACACCCTCAACCCATTCGCTTCCATACCTTTGTTTGAGAGGTGAGGTGAGGTGAAGTGAAATCATGCTTTCACATCGTGTTCAAGATTATTAATGCGTACCTCAGTTCGGATTTGCTGACTGGTATTCCTGGTGTTACGTGCTCGTGGTGATCAGCTGATAATATGTTTTGAGATGGGGGGAAAAACATTGTGCCAGTGTAAAACTTGAATTTTTTAAAAATGTAAGTAAATTTTGGGAGCCATGCGTTACTGCACGCTATAACCGAGGTAGCGCTATCCTGAAGGGCGCAATAGCGAGGGAACATTATATATGTCATGAAGGTGTCACTTGAGTTTATTCTTTTTATCTCTTCATGAACATCCAGCCCTTCAGATTGATGTGGGGGCATGGCTGGCCCAGTCATCTAAGGTGCCGCGTTTCGTTGTGCAGAGTTGCGTCCCTTGGGCACGCCAGAAACCTATGATTGTTGGTTCGAATCCCGGTTCGCCCTGATTATGTTTCTAGGTTTGTCAGCACCATACCCGTGCTCCCGTGGGCTTCACCAAAGTGGTAAACGTCTTAGACCTGCATCACTTTGAGCATTTCTCCCACATAAAGCTGACACGCCGTGATATAACTGTTATACTGTTAAAAGCGGCGTTAAACGAACTCACTCACTCAGATATGACGCGGGCGTGACCAAGATGCAAATGTAGAAATGGCAAAGAATATCCCTGCTTATAAGGGATTTGCAAGTCTCAGTGTGTCTGCTTGTACTAGTCCGGACTAATGCCAGTTTTATAGTGCTTGGCCTGTAAGATACCATGACGCGGTTGTAACTTTAATACTCCACTCAGACACAGCATGCTGACCAGTCCTTGTTTTAGCCCCTTTAAATGCCGAGCACAAGAGAGGGTAACAATAAGTACCATCTATTTACATCTTTTTGTATGACACAGCCATCTTCGTCTCTCTTGTCCCTGGCTTGGCATGGAGACACAGAACATTGGATACATCAAGCATTCAACTGAATATGTATTCATCACTAACCATTTCATGTTGTGATAATTTCAGATTTCGTGATTGTGTACGAGGACTCCCTGGACAAGAAACTTGGGGTGAAACCTGCCGAGGAGAAACATGTACAATGGCGAGAGAAGTTCATGCGCAATATACGGAAAGCTGGACTTGAAACGGAAGAGGTTAGTTGTTCTCGTGGAGGCTGATGTCGTGTTGTGTTTGGTGCTTGCTGAGCCAATGTTGCCCTCTTTTCTATGTTGTGGCTTGAGTGTGTTAGCAACCTCACTGGTGTAGTTCGGTGCTCACATCATACAACCGCTGATCTGTCTTGACAATTGGGAATCCATCTTTCTCCATCGGCATTCTGGTCTTGCATTACAATGGTTGTAGAACACTCTCATGTTCTCTCACTCTCCGTACATACTGAACTTAACAAAACCCAATAAGGGACACCTGCATTGTCTCTCTCCATACATACTGAACTTAACAAAAACCCAATAAGGGACACCTGCATTGTCTACCTCCACACATACTGAACTTAACAAAAAACCAATAAGGGACACCTGCATTGTCTACCTCCATACACACTGAATTTAACAAACCCCAATAAGGGACTCCTGCATTGTTCACCTCCATACACACTGAACTTGACAAAACCCCAATAAGGGACACCAGCATTGTCTACCTCCATACACACTGAACTTGACAAAACCCCAATAAGGGACTCCCGCATTGTCTCTCTCCGTACATACTGAACTTAACAAAACCCCAATAAGGGACTCCCGCATTGTCTATCTCCATACACACTGAACTTGACAAAACCCCAATAAGGGACACCAGCATTGTCTACCTCCATACACACTGAACTTGACAAAACCCCAATAAGGGACACCAGCATTGTCTACCTCCATACATACTGAACTTGACAAAACCCCAATAAGGGACTCCCGCATTGTCTCTCTCCGTACATACTGAACTTAACAAAACCCCAATAAGGGACTCCTGCATTGTCTACCTCCATACACACTGAACTTGACAAACCCCAATAAGGGACACCTGCATTGTCTACCTCCATACACACTGAATTTAACAAACCCCAATAAGGGACACCTGCATTGTCTACCTCCATACACACTGAATTTAACAAACCCCCAATAAGGGACTCCTGCATTGTCTACCTCCATACACACTGAACTTGACAAAACCCCAATAAGGGACACCTGCATTGTCTACCTCCATACACACTGAATTTAACAAACCCCAATAAGGGACTCCTGCATTGTCTACCTCCATACACACTGAACTTGACAAAACCCCAATAAGGGACACCTGCATTGTCTACCTCCATACACACTGAATTTAACAAACCCCAATAAGGGACACCTGCATTGTCTACCTCCATACACACTGAATTTAACAAACCCCAATAAGGGACTCCTGCATTGTCTACCTCCATACACACTGAACTTGACAAAACCCCAATAAGGGACACCTGCATTGTCTACCTCCATACACACTGAATTTAACAAACCCCAATAAGGGACACCTGCATTGTCTACCTCCATACACACTGAATTTAACAAACCCCAATAAGGGACACCTGCATTGTCTACCTCCATACACACTGAACTTGACAAACCCCAATAAGGGACACCTGCATTGTCTACCTCCATACACACTGAATTTAACAAACCCCAATAAGGGACTCCTGCATTGTTCACCTCCATACATACTGAACTTGACAAAACCCCAATAACGGACACCTGCATTGTCTACCTCCATACACACTGAATTTAACAAACCCCAATAAGGGACTCCTGCATTGTTCACCTCCATACATACTGAACTTGACAAAACCCCAATAAGGGACTCCTGCATTGTCTACCTCCATACACACTGAATTTAACAAACCCCAATAAGGGACACCTGCATTGTCTACCTCCATACACACTGAATTTAACAAACCCCAATAAGGGACTCCTGCATTGTCTACCTCCATACATACTGAACTTGACAAAACCCCAATAAGGGACACCTGCATTGTCTCTCTCCATACATACTGAATTTAACAAACCCCACTAAGGGACACCTGCATTGTCTACCTCCATACACACTGAACTTGACAAAACCCCAATAAGGGACACCTGCATTGTCTACCTCCATACATACTGAACTTGACAAAACCCCAATAAGGGACACCTGCATTGTCTACCTCCATACACACTGAATTTAACAAACCCCAATAAGGGACACCTGCATTGTCTACCTCCATACATACTGAACTTGACAAAACCCCAATAAGGGACACCTGCATTGTCTCTCTCCATACATACTGAATTTAACAAACCCCAATAAGGGACACCTGCATTGTCTACCTCCATACACACTGAACTTGACAAAACCCCAATAAGGGACACCTGCATTGTCTACCTCCATACATACTGAACTTGACAAAACCCCAATAAGGGACACCTGCATTGTCTACCTCCATACATACTGAACTTGACAAAACCCCAATAAGGGACTCCCGCATTGTCTCTCTCCGTACATACTGAACTTAACAAAACCCCAATAAGGGACTCCTGCATTGTCTACATCCATACATACTGAACTTGACAAACCCCAATAAGGGACACCTGCATTGTCTACCTCCACACATACTGAACTTGACAAACCCCAATAAGGGACACCTGCATTGTCTACCTCCACACATACTGAACTTGACAAACCCCAATAAGGGACTCCCGCATTGTCTACCTCCACACATACTGAACTTGACACTAGGTTGCACGTTGACACATGAGCAGTGGTATTTAACTGGAGACACTGACTTTGAGGCTTGGGGAAGAAACCTGAGGAGATATAGAAGGGCTGAACAGGGACGACCTTCTGTACTGTAGTGTGGGCGGTGGTGGCCGACAGCCATTCGGAATAGCCCGGCTGAATGTCACCGCAGTTTGACATTTGTGGACATGAGCACGGAATGAGTTGATTACAAAAATGTCATGGCTCTATTAAGTCGTCGTTGCCTTGAGAACATTGCCGAGCTGCGCTGAAGAGGCAATATGTGGAAATGCTGACATGCAGTCTACATTTGATTAGCGTTATTATTCAATTACACAAATGGAAAGTGTTTTAACACGTGTCAGTTGTGAGCACTGCGGAGACCCACACACTGGCCCAGTATAAGTAATTGTAATAAGTCCAGTAATTGGCCCCCTCGTTATGCAATTAAGATATTTATTAATCAGAAAATGTTGCCGATGATTTATAGCTTTCCAGCAGCCATGTTGCCAACATTGAAATTATAAAAAAAAAGGGTTATTGACTCGTAAAAAACTATTGCATCCAAAATGCATAAAAATATTTCACACTAGAAGTCTCATTTGAGGCAAAGGCTTCAATACAGCTGATTAAATTACCCATGCAAAGTAGCATGCATGCTGACTTCATTTGTCCATGTCTATTTTCTTTACTCAATCAATAAGTTGTTTCAAACAAGAATAGCCTCATCTCAATCGGCATTAGGCTTCACAAAGTTCATATTTCATTTGTTGTTGGGACAGTAGTCACCTTGGGACCCCTCTTGTAACACATGGGAGACCTCCAAATCAGTACTGACACCCCCAGGTTTCATAATATTGGGCTTCACAAAGTTCATATTTCATTTGTTGTTGGGACAGTAGTCACCTTGGGACCCCTCTTGTAACACATGGGACACCTCCAAATCAGTACTGACCCCCCAGGTTTCATAATATTGCGCTTCACAAATGTCATATTTCATTTGTTGTTGGGACAGTCGTCACCTTGGGACCCCTCTTGTAACATATGGGACACCTCCAAATCAGTACTGACACCCCCAGGTTTCATAATAGTATAACCCAGGTTAATCCCTGTACATAATTACAAGGTGTGATGTACGTATATAGCAGCCATCATGAATATCCAGACCCGTGAAGAGTAACCCATGCTTGCAGTTAAAGGAAACTACTCGGGTTCGGGAAGTCAGGCTCGCTGACTTGGTTGATGCATGTCATCGTATCCCAATTGTGTGGAGTGATGCTCATGATGTCAATCACTGGATTGTCTGGTCAAGACTCGATTATTTACAGACCGCCATCATATAGCTGGAATATTGCTGAGTGTGGCGTTAAACAGCAAACAATCAATCAATCAATCTTGAATATCCCATGTTGGACTAGTCCACACACACAAACATGCACGCGCACATGCACACACACATGCACACACATGCACACCACACAGACACAGACCACACAGACACAGACCCCCGCCCGCATGCACGCACCATATTTTATTTTACCTCTCACCACTGCCCAGCCCTCTTCCAAGATATGGAAATATAATATGGTCGGCGCTTCAGGTTCATTTGACAAAAAACTAAGTAAGGAATAATTCCATGTTCTAATGGTTTCAATCTTTAGACAATCCAAGTACAGTAAAGCGTGGCAGCAACATGACTGTCTTCACTCTTGTTTTTGACATTTTTAGCTCTGCACTAATTTAATAAGTGTCTGTGTCATTGATGGCAATCCACTTTAACAGCTATAAAGAGATACTGTGGAGGTTAAACGATGAACTAATTGCACAGTGTTGGTTAATCTGGTTTACATTGCATGCAGTTATGCAGAATGAGATCTTGACCATGACTTGAATGAAGAACCCGTGAAGACACAGGGTAGAATAGGCCTTCAGCAACCCATGCTTGCTGTAAAAGGTGACTATGCTTGTCGTAAGAGGCCACTAACGGGATCGGGTGGTCAGGCTTGCTGACTTGGTTGATGCATGTCATTGTATCCCAATTGCGTGGATCGATGGTCATAATGTCAATCACTGGATTGTCTGGCCCAGACTTGATTATTTACAGATGGCCATCATATAGCTGGAATATTGCTGAGTGTGGCGCAGTTACGTGTATTGTGTTCGTTTTAACCAAGATGGCGGCATTTCCGAGCGAAAACGTATATAATGAACAACTAACATAACAAACTGATTTCTCCCTTTTTCTACTGTAAATGTGTAAATCCGAATTATGTGTAGGTCATTGTCTATACTACCTAGACTTATTTTCCTAAGATAATGTTGAAAAATGTAGGTTTTCTAATCTCGGGAGCCAATCAGTATGAAGCATAAATTATGATTCTCAGCGAGAATTACTGAAAATATCACCAACATCTGTGGCCCTGTGTTTGATATGAAGTAATAGTGCCTTGGCCATGTGAACCGGGAGGGCTTGACTTGTGTGAGGGCGATTGGGTAGCCTTGTGGTTAAATAGAGATTATTATGTGTTTACGTATCATAAGAAATATTAATTGCATTGTTTTAATCGTTGGCAAGGATAATAGATATTTTCATTCCCAATATTTGATGTTTTGATTCGGAAACACACGAGAGTGATAATATCTTCATGACATGTCATTCTTACAATAATCAATGTTTACGATGTAGTTCAGGTCAATGAAGTAACTTTAGAAACCGCGTATGAATACAGAGCTTGAGTGAATAGTCCATATGTCATATAGTGCCAAATGATTGACAGCCATGTTTGCCTACAGAAACACCCACACAACGAATACCTCTATCTATACTCATTGGAGCATTAGTCAATAGTTTATTGAGCAGGCAGACATTGCATCCATTTGTGGAGATTAAAAGTGGTGACCTCATTTGCATATTTATTGGATCGTGATAGCAAGTTTATGGGATGGTTTATTGGTTTATTGGTTTATTGCATCGGTATCACTGTCCATCATATGCATGTCTTTGTCATCTGGAGACTGGGTTTGATTCTCCACAAGGGCACATTGTGTGAAGCCCACAAGTGTTCGCCCCCAACGTTGGCTGTATTTCAGCATATCGGGACTTAGCAGCGTTAGAAACTAACAGTTTTTGTCCACTAGTCCTTATAATGATAACATATAGCAAAACCCTTAAAAATGGCAATTTTCTACTAGTCCTTATGATACCTTTACCATTGGGTAGTTTGGCAAGGACTATAGGACTAGTGCCAATTTCTAACTCTGCTTAGAACAAGTTGTAAAGTCATAGCACACACAAGCCTGTTGATGATGGACAGTACAACAACCAAATTATCACAGATTTATATCATCCCCGGCCACCAAGTGAAGGGGAATACAGGAATGGTTGCTGTCGTCCGTTCTTCTGTCCTTGTGTATGTCTGTCACGTCTCGTTTCCGGAGCCGAACTCAAAAACCAAGAGAGATATCTAAACTGAACTTGCCACATAGTTAGCTCTAGTGGTGAACTAGTGCTGTTTGATATTTTGGGAGTTTTTAAAAAATATTTGAGTTTCCATGACAACGACTATGACTCAGACTGAAAATGATGGTACATGTAGTGCTCTTTTCCGGACTTGTCATATTGGCGGGGATATGAATATTTCAGGCTTGTTCAAGTATCTGAGCATTAAAAGTTAAAACTATTATAGATAGTACAATACAAAATCTGGGCTGTAGATCGCCAGGAGGCAAAGGTGTATAACAATGCAAGGCACCATGGGGGCTTACAGTGCCTCTAATACCTGCATGTGGATTAATACCATTCCACTTGTTACTGGCAATATGAGAAAGTTCAGCCAATACTTAAAACAAACTATTATTTTTCTGTTCAGACTAGTAGGCATATAGGCACATTAAATTTCAAATATAACATTTGTTACATTGGACCACTTTCTAAATGGCATTTTGTGTTCATAGCTTTCTGCCAAGGGAGCCATGCCAATTTACACTTGTCAGAGGGGTACACAAAGTACTTGATCTAGACTACCAGTTGTCAGACTTTCATTTTGTGGAAGCCTCATTGGCTGAATGGGTTAGATCGCTGACTTTGTGTGCTGGCGATTAAGTGCCTCACTCTGGCAATGTGGGTTCGAATCCCGGATGGGACTCATACGAAAAAAGTACTTGAATCTTTACCTTACAAAGAAAGTGTTATCCCAAATATTACATTTGTTACATTGGACCACTTTCTAAATGGCATTGTGTGTTCACACTTTGAATCATACTCACCTCATAGATTGGGCCCTTCCTTCCTCATTAAGCTGACACACCTTGATACACAGGAAACGCATACCATTCAAAGCAGCTTCCTACTTAATTGTGGACCCGTGAAGATTCCGGGATAAAGTAGGTCTTCAGCAACCCATGCTTGCCGTAAAAGGTGACTGTGCTTGTCGTAAAAGGCGACTAACAGGATCGGGTGGTCAGGCTCGCTGACTTGGTTGATGCATGTCATTGTATCCCAATTGCGTGGATCGATGATCATGATGTCAATCACTGGATTGTCTCGATTATTTACAAACCGCCGTCATATAGCTGGAATATTGTTGAGTGCGGCGTTAAACAAACCAACCAACCAACCAACTTAATTGTGTTTTTTGGTATTTTTGATACAGACAGAATTTCTTATTGATACCATTCTCCTTCAACATAGCAATCCATGACCAAGGACACAAGTTCGACATATTATTCTTGTGTTTTAGGAGAGCCTAGAGAGTGACAAGAAAATTATCAACTTTGTGAAAATCCACGCTCCATTCGATGTCTGCTGCTGCTACGCGGAGGACCTCAGCATGAGGGCGCCACTGCAGGTATGTTGGGGAAGAGATACTGCTTGTGTGAGAACTATTTGTAAACTTATTATAAAATATAATTTGATATTTTTCCTTTCACTTGCAATTTTTGCATCTTTTTTTTTATCAACATTTAATGCTTGAATATATTTATATAAAGATAGTTTTGTCGTGTGTTTCAATTTTTTCATGTGAGAACTAATTTATCTTCTTACTCTGCACAACTATAAGTGTTGATGTTTAAACAGGAAGATTTGTTCACTCTTGTATCAGGACAAATTCAGTCTGTATACTTTTTGTACTAATCTTTAGGGGCGGTGGCGTAAGTTAGGCGTTCGCTCATCACGCCAAAGGCCCTGGTTTGATTCCCGACATGGGTACAGTGTGTGAAGCCCATTTCTGTGTCCCCCGCCATGATATTGCTGGAATATTGCCAAAATCGGCGTAAAACCATACACACTCACTCATTAATCTTTAAGGGTTTATAATGCCAGTGGCATAGTGATGTGAACCACCGCAAATTGCTAATCAGAAGTTCAAATCCTAGATTCATCCTAGAATCGTCACTGGTTTGTCAGCTCACCTCCTGTAGAGTACGATTTAATGCCTTTTTAACGGTGTATTGTCATGTTGAATAATGCAATGTTATTAATTATCACAGTACATTTCTATGAAATATTATGTATGTAATTTTGTATATATCTTAAAATATAAAAGAAATATTTTGAAATCACTACTTAACTTTCCTCCACTTTTCAATTATTTTCATTGCTTCAATTAATTATTGCTTATTTCTTTCTTTAGACAGTTCAACCATTTGTGTTTGGGGTTGAGTATTATTCAAGTCTTGATGGAAAGTCTGGAGTCAGTGTGTCCCCATGTCATTGCATGCTGCGTATCATTAGTCGTCCAACAAATAGTATATTTTGTTTCGCCTGTTCAAGGTTGAAACCTGAAATAGTTGTGTTACTAATTGAATCAATATTTAGCTGGATATTGTGATGATAACGAACACATGTGATCAGCTTATAGTCACAAACTTTACTTAGTTATTTTTGTGAGCGTGATCGTTTGTCAGTAGCCATGTGCTATTTTCCTTCCACTTGTCCCACTTTGTAGGCGTCCTGCAGCACTTTGTTGTGTGTAAATTGATGTTGGTAAATATATTCTACTGGGCATAAGTTATAGATCACAATTTTTTTGCAACCTTGAAAGAAAATATTTTATGTTGACTTGGAACTTAAAGCTTAGATGTAGAGTTTGACAAATTAATAAGCATAGCTTGAATGATATTTTTGAGACATGATGTCTTTTCAACAACAAAAGAAAAGAAATTGAAATATAAAATTTATCATTTCACACATATTTCATTTCAATATCTCCATGTTGCATGGCTTGTCAATTGTTTTCGGAGTCTTTGGAAAAGTTTTTAAATCCATCAGAAATGTTTTATGGTATTTTGTACCATGGTAAGGATGAGTCTTGCTGGTCTGGGATCTGGTTCCTGTGCCCTATCTCATTAAAATCTGATCTTTTACTGTGATACGATACCTCTGTGTGTGAAGGTCTGACAACCCCTCCATAGGTCATGTCAGGTGACCTCTGAGCAAAGTTCGACTGCCCTGTCTAAATAAATGAATCAGATGTCATATATCAACATCAATATCATGGCCTTGCTTTTATTATTTACATTTGGAAATGGCCAATTGAGTTCATTTTCAATATACAGAAATTGGATATAGTTGTCTGAATTCTTTGCTCATGCGTACTGAAAAGCCTTGATGCTCATTGGTTGATAAGAAAGTTTTTTGACCTTCTCTGGAGCTTGGTCATCAGACATTCTGACAGAGAGTTATTGTATCGGATAAGGGTCTGATTTTACCGAAATTGACTTGTGCGCAAAGTACATCAACCACACGAACCACCTGAAGCTTGAGCATGTCTGTAATGTCACATCTTCTTTTATTTTACAAGGCACTGTCTTCAGGAGTAAGTAAATACAGAGACCATACGTGTGTATATATACTAGTATATATCCCCTAGCTGTGCAGGTGATGTCAATGTAATCAGCTCTACCTGGACTGCCTTCCTGCATGCTCTGAATGTTAGAAGACATTGTACAATAACAGTGGTGATGTGAACTATAGTCGAGTTAGGGCCCTGCTTTACAAAGTGATCTTAGCGCTATGACGTTTTCTCTCCTACTTATGCCAGTCGTAGGACCAAGATCGCTTTGTGGAATGTGGTTTCAATAGTTCTCATGGTGATGTGAAGACCTGGGACCTGTTTCACATAGTGATCTTAGCGCAAAGACAATCGTCTATCCTACTTACGCCAGTTGTAGATCACTTTGTGGAATGTGGTTTTAATAGTTCGAGTGGTGATGTGAAGACCTGGGACCTGTTTCACATAGTGATCTTAGCGCAAAGACAATCGTCTTTCCTACTTACGCCAGTTGTAGATCACTTTGTGGAATGTGGTTTCAATAGTTTAAGTGGTGATGTAAAGCCTTTGAGGTCATCTCTGGGCCCTGTTTCGCAAAGTTATCTTAGCGCAAAGACCATCTCTCCTACTTTAACATAGCGTAGACTTTAAGGTCTGGATAACTCTCTGGAATGGGGCTTCAGTAGTATCAATGGTGAAGAGAAGCTTCCACATTCTGACAGTACTGCCAGTAGATTTTGCAGAAGTTATATATATATATCAGTATTACCCAAGCTTTTTGCATGGAACCAGATTAGTTGGCAAGGAGCTGGTGTGGTGGACATGAACAAAGTTAGACAAGTTCTGTGATTATATGAGAGTATTGCTGACAGCAGCTTTCACTCATTCACAGTGATCATTTCCATAAATTCCCGAATCAACATATTAGCTGAGTTCAGACCATGTGGGGATTTCTAGAATAGGACCCCACAACCGATGCTTGTAAGAGGCGTCTTGATGGATCAGTGACCTGTGAAGTTCCCTGGTAGAGAATAGGTCTTCAGCAACCCATGCTTGCCGTAAAATGCGACTATGCTTGTTATAAGAGGCAACTATTGGGATCGGGTGGTCAGGCTCGCTGACTCGGTTGATGAACGTCATCGTATCCAAATTGCGTTGATCGATGCTCATGATGTCAGTCACTGGATTGTCTGGTCCAGACTCGATTATGTACGGACCGCCGTCAAAAAGCTGGAATATTGCTGAGTGAGGTGTTAAACAACAAAGAAGCACCTGAGAAGCTAGAAAATAACCTCAACGTAAACTCTTTAATTAAGTTAGCTGAGATTTGCTACTGCATGCATGCTTTGCATGACATTCTGCCATGTCAGCAGAGTAGAGTACAGCAATATATTGATCAGAGGAGAAGCAGCCAGTCCTTTGACATCCTGGTAGGGCTTACCAAGCACTTAAACCCAACAACAACAGTCTGCCACAAAGCAGTGAGTCACAGCTGGCTTGCTACGTATATCCAGGGATGTCGCTATAAGGAATGAAATATTATGATCAAATTGTTATACATACATACATACCATACAAGTACGTGAAGATCCGGGGTAGAATAGAATAGAATAGGCAACCCATGCTTGCCCTAAAAGGCGACTATGCTTGTCGTAAAAGGCGACTAACAGGATCGAATGGTCAGGCTCGCTGACTTGGTTGATGCATGTCATCGGTCCCAATTGCGTGGATCGATGCTCATGATATTAATCACTGGATTGTCTGGTTCAGACTCGATTATTTACAGACCGCCGTCATATAGCTGGAATATTGCTGAGTGCGGCGTTAAACAACAAACCAAACCAAAACATACATACGCTCTAAAAAGAAATGCATAGCTGCTTCAAAAGTACATGAAAGTGTAGTCGACATGTTCTTTTCCACTGATAAAGTTTTCTTAAGGAAGAGAATATATGGATGTCAACTTCTTTATAATGAGGAACACAACGTTTCAGAGTATATGTTTTCTTGCCATTAATGACCTTGACATTGCATGATTCGTTTTCGTGGGAAACTCAAAAAGCAGTTTCCACGTCATGGACTTTGTCGTAGTCTTCGTGGGAAAGTTTATAACACATTCAGTTAAGGAAAAAGTTAACAAAGTGAAGTTTGAAAATCGTCTTCTTGGGACTCATTAATAATGCTAGAAATAATGGTATGTGTGACATGTAGTATGGGTTACTAAGTTTGGGTCCACTTGACCTTCATCGGCTGCCAGAGGTGTTGATTACGTCGTCACAACGTCATCTTCCCCAACTTTGGCGTAGTGTGTGGTTTCATGATCAATCCCATTTCCTTCTTGAAAGTCGGGGGGCACGGGTGGCCCAGTCATCTAAGGCGCCGCAATTCGATGTGCAGAGTTATGTCCCTTGGGCACGCCAGAAACCTATGATTGTGGGTTCGAATCCCGGTTGGCCCCGATTATGTTTCTAGGTTTGTCAGCACCATGCCCGTGCTCGTCGGTTTCACCGAAGTGGTAAACGTCTGAGACCTGCATCACTTCGGGCTTTCCTCGCACATTAAGCTGACACGCCGCGATATAACTGGAATACTGTTAAAAGCGGCGTAAAACCCAACCCACTCACTCACTCTTGAAAGTTGTCACATCGAAGACCCGGGTTCGATTCCCGACACGGGTACACTGTGTGAAGCCCATTTCTGGTGTCCCACGCCATGATATTGCTGGAATATTGCTAAAAGCCGCGTAAAACCATACTCACTCACTCACTCCTTCTTGAAAGGACTGGCTGGTCTGTGTCTATAGGCCATGGGGTGTGGTGGGGTAGCCAAGTTGTTAAAGCATTTGCTTGTCATGATGATGACCAGGGTTCGATTCCCACTCACTCACTGTCAGCAGCAGAAGGAAAGTTGTACTTGAAGTCAACAGATTCGATGAAGATGTGGGGAGCCATCTCATACATGCAAAGTGCAGATCTTGTTGATATCCTGGGGATCTTAACGTTGTGCATTATCGTTATGAGATTTTACAACAAGATCAAACACACAAATGTCCCACGTAGTGCTCGCAAAGCCGTATAAGATTCACAGAATTAATCTATTGAAAACCACTTATGTCTCTAGTGTGGTGACCTACTTTCTGCTGGGACATACAAAGATATTGTGTTTGGTGGTACATGGAGCTTTGATGCCATGTAGTCGAAATGATATTGGTTATAGCTTCAGCATCTTCGCCAACTTTTACCCTACAAATAACTCCTCCATTTGACACATCTTCAGACCCACAACCCAACCCCAACCCCTGTTTGAATCTGCCTTTGACCTCTACATAATACTCCTCTCTTTTACTCCTATTTGACTCCTCCCCCAACCCCTACTCTTGGCTCCTTCCTTTAACCCTTGACCTACTTTTGATTTCGCCCTTTGACCCCTACTTTCAACTCCTCCCATTGACCCCTATGTTTGACCTTGACCTCCACTGTTGAACAAAATTCTGTGTGATGATATATTCCTTCGACATAATCTTTCCTTATTTGAACCAATACTGAACAAGACTTGACACATTTGGCATGGGGGCAGTGGATTGGCCTGTGCATGCTCTCATTTCGCTGACAGATTAACTTGAAAACTGGTTACAGGCTGACATAGTCAAAGGCAAGACCAACTCTATACCTTGTTTTCAGTCCAGGATTGCAAGCTATAGAATACTGGTCAGGGTTGACAGGAGGTGGATGTTTTTTCTATGTAAAACAAACAACTTAAGAGTTCAGGATGTGATTTTGAAAATAATGTATTATCATAATGTATATATTTTACCTTTTGCAGTATTACAACTGTGCTCATCTGTTAAACATTACAACAAAGGTTTGGCCTAATGAATTGTTATTTATTAAACAATATATTGACTTGAATAATGTGTTCTACGTGTTCAGTGTTATGTTGCTCTTCATGTTTGCCTTTGTCTGACCAAGTTGACATGTTCCAATAATAATATGTTTAACTGTCTGCTTGTTAAACCAGACGTTGCTTTGAAGATCGGGGAAGGGGGGCTCGGGTGGCCCAGTCGTCTTAAGGCGCCACAATTCGATGTGCAGAGTTGCATCACTTGGGCAAGCCAGAAACCTATGATTGTGGATTCGAATCCCGATTCGCCCCGATTATGTTTCTAGGTTTGTCAGCACCATACCCGTGCTCGTGGGTTTCACCAAAGAGGTAAACGTCTGAGACCTGCATCACTTCGGGCTTTCCTCCCACATTAAGCTGACACGCCGTGATGTAACTGGAATACTGTTAAAAGCGGCGTTAAACCCAACTCACTCACTCACTCACTACAGATAAGGGCACCGTTCCACAAAGCTAGGGGCAAGGACTGTCGTAAGCCAGTGTTAAAGTATGGGAGTTACGATCACTTTAGCGCTAAGATGGCTTTGTGGAACGGGGCCCAGGGTAGAAACAGGTAGAGAACATACCATATGTTGTACCCATGGTAGGGGTGTCACAATAAATCAAAATATTGATAATTGCTATTGGTAAGCACTTGTAAATCAGTTTCCGATCAATAGTATCGATTTCAGTACCGAATATCCATAGTTTTGATTGTATTTACCATATCATGCCATTGAGTCAAATGCTGTTCAAATTTGTGTTTCTGTTGATCATGAGTATTAGTAATTTACACATGGTTTTCTTTTTCCTAAATTATTTGGAAAAAGAAAAAACAAATCAGTCATATTTCAAACTTCACTTTTTATTTGTTGTTCTGGTTATCACATTCAGAAGAAAACTTCCGTTCCAAGGTTTAATTTAACTCTAAAATCCATCTAAAATGATACACTGAAAACTATCAATATTTATCGCTATAGTTGCTTGCAGTATCAATAGTTATCGCAATAGTTTCTTTTAATATCAATAGTTATCGCAATAGTGTTTTCCAAACCAATAGTGACCGCTAACACACAGCATGTGCAGATTGCTCTTAGCATATGATAAAGAATTAATACTCGTGTGCATGGTGTTACTGTTTCTTCTTCATTTGTTGCTGGGACGGTGGGATAGTGTGGAGTTTGAAGCCTTTGTTCATAATACTTGAAGGCCCGGGTTCAATTCCCCACACATGTACAATGTGCGAGGCCTTTTTCTGGTACCTCTGCTAAGGTATTGCTTGAATATTGCAAAAGGCAGCTTGAAACATACCAGCTCATTCCCCACTTCTGACTCGTGAAGATCCAGGGTAGAATAGGTCTTCAGAAACCCATGCTTGCTGTAAAAGGCGACTATGCTTGTCGTAAGAGGCGACTATGCTTGTCGTAAGAGGCGACTAACGGGATCGGGTGGTCAGGCTCGCTGACTTGGTTGATGCATGTCATCTGTCCCAATTGCCTGGATCAATGCTCACGATGTCAAGCACTGGAAGATCTGTGAAGATCCGGGGTAGAATAGGTCTCCAGCAACCCATGCTTGCCGTAAAGAGCGACTATGCTTGTTGTAAGAGGCGACTAATGGGATCGGGTGGTCAGACACACTGATTTGGTTAATGCATGTCGTCGATTTCAATTGGGTGCTCACGATGTCAATCACTGGATTATCATTCAACTCCAAACAAACATAAAGGGATTCAGATAAATTCAATGTTATTTTATCTGATCTCAGGTAAGCTAAGGGGTAGATACAAGTGTTTCGGTGGGGACAGGCTCTGGTTATGGCAGCACACTATGATGGGTTGGATCATTGCTCTTGGTTTGGTTGCCGGGTAATGGTTTGACTTGATTATCTACGTGGTAACTCAATATTGCTGACTTCAGCAGAATACATCTACATATAGCTGTTCACTTATTTCTGTTATCAGTATATATATATTTGATGCAATTGCTAAACATTTCCTACCTGAACTCTATTATTGAATATGATATGTAAATTCAGACAGGAAGTAAGAAATTCAGACAGGAAGTAAGAAATTCAGAAATCTGCCACAAAAATTTGTTTTGGAAGATAACAATAGAAAGCTTTAATGATTTCAATGTGGGATAGTTTGTTTCGGAAGGACACACAATTTACAACAGCTGTCACTGTCCGTGTTTCAGGCCTTTGACCTTTACTTAATACTCCCCTCTTTTACTCCTATTTGACTCCTCCCCCAACCCCTACTCTTGGCTCCTTCCTTTTACCCTTGACCTACTTTTGATTTCGCCCTTTGACCCCTACTTTCAACTCCTCCCTTTGACTCCTATGTTTGACCTTGACCTCCACTGTTGAAAAAAATTCTGTGTGATGATATATTCCTTTGACATAATCTTTCCTTACTTGAACCAATACTGAACAAGACTTGACACATTTGGCATGGGGGCAGTGGATTGGCCTGTGCATGCTCTCATTCGCTGACAGATTAACTTGAAAACTGGTTACAGGCTGACATAGTCTAAGGCAAGACCAACTCTATACCTTGTTTTCAGTCCAGGATTGCAAGCTATAGAATACTGGTCAGGGTTGACAGGAGGTGGATGTTTTTTCTATGTAAAACAAACAACTTAAGAATTCAGGATGTGATTTTGAAAATCATGTATTATCATAATGTATATATTTTACCTTTTGCAGTATTACAACTATGCTCATCTGTTAAACATTACAACAAAGGTTTGGCATAATGAATTGTTATTTATTAAACAATATATTGACTTGAATAATGTGTTCTACGTGTTCAGTGTTATGTTGCACTTCATGTTTGCCTTTGTCTGACCAAGTTGACATGTTCCAATAATAATATGTTTAACTGTCTGCTTGTTAAACCAGACGTTGCTTTGAAGATCAGGGAAGGGGGCTCGGGTGGCCAAGTCGTCTAAGGCACCGCGATTCGCTGTGCAGAGTTGCATCCCTTGGGCATGCCAGAAACCTATGATTGTGGAATCGAATCCCGATTCGCCCCGGTTATGTTTCTAGGTTTGTCAGCACCATACCCTTGCTCGTGGGTTTCACCGAAGTGGTAAACGTCTGAGACCTGCATCACTTCGGGCTTTCCTCCCACATTAAGCTGACACGACGTGATGTAACTGGAATACTGTTAAAAGCGGCGTTAAACCCATCACTTCGGGCTTTCCTCCCACATTAAGCTGACACGCTGTGATATAACTAGAATACTGTTAAAAGCGGCGTTAAACCCATCACTTCGGGCTTTCCTCCCACATTAAGCTGACACGCTGTGATATAACTGGAATACTGTTAAAAGCGGCGTTAAACCCATCACTTTGGGCTTTCCTCCCACATTAAGCTGACACTCCGTGATATAACTGGAATACTGTTAAAAGCGGCGTTAAACCAATCACTTAGGGCTTTCCTCCCACATTAAGCTGACACGCCGTGATATAACTGGAATACTGTTAAAAGCGGCGTTAAACCCATCACTTCGGGCTTTCCTCCCACATTAAGCTGACACGCTGTGATATAACTAGAATACTGTTAAAAGCGGCGTTAAACCCATCACTTCGGGCTTTCCTCCCACATTAAGCTGACACGCTGTGATATAACTGGAATACTGTTAAAAGCAGCGTTAAACCCATCACTTCGGGCTTTCCTCCCACATTAAGCTGACACTCCATGATATAACTGGAATACTGTTAAAAGCGGCGTTAAACCAATCACTTAGGGCTTTCCTCCCACATTAAGCTGACACGCCGTGATATAACTGGAATACTGTTAATAGCGGTGTTAAACCCATCATTTTGGGCTTTCCTCCCACATTAAGCTGACACGCTGTGATATAACTGGAATACTGTTAAAAGCGGCGTTAAACCAAACTCACTCACTCACTACAGATCAGGGCACCGTTCCACAAAGCTAGGGGCAAGGACTGTCGTAAGTCAGTGTTAATGTATGGGAGTTACGATCACTTTAGCGCTAAGATGGCTTTGTGGAACGGGGCCCAGGGTAGAAACAGGTAGAGAACATACCATATGTTGAACCCATGGTAGGGGTGTCACAATAAATCAAAATATCGATAATTGCTATTGGTAAGCACTTGTAAATCAGTTTCCGATCAATAGTATCGATTTCAGTACCGAATATCCATAGTTTTGATTGTATTTACCATATCATGCGATTGAGTCAAATGCTGTTCAAATTTGTGTTTCTTTTGATCATGAGTATTAGTAATTTACACATGGTTTTCTTTTTCCTAAATTATTTGGAAAAAGAAAAAACAAATCAGTCATATTTCAAACTTCACTTTTTATTTGTTGCTATGGTTATCACATTAAGAAGAAAACTTCAGTTCCAAGGTTAAATTCAACTCTAAAATCCATCTAAAATGATACACTGAAAACTATCAATATTTATTGCAATAGTTGCTTGCAGTATCAATAGTTATCGCAATAGTTTCTTTCAATATCAATAGTTTCGCAATAGTGATTTCCAAACCAATAGTGACCCCTAACACACAGCATGTGCAGATTGCTTTTAGCATAGGATAAAGAATTAATACTTGCATGGTGTTACTGTTTCTTCTTCATCTGTTGCTGGGACGGTGGGATAGTGTGGAGTTTGAAGCCTTTGTTCATAATACTTGAAGGCCCGGGTTCAATTCCCCACACATGTACAATGTGCGAGGCCTTTTTCTGGTACCTCTGCTAAGGTATTGCTTGAATATTGCAAAAGGCAGCTTGAAAACGTACCAGCTCATTCCCCACTCCTGACTCGTGAAGATCCAGGGTAGAATAGGTCTTCAGAAACCCATGCTTGCTGTAAAAGGCGACTATGCTTGTCGTAAGAGGAGACTATGCTTGTCGTAAGAGGCGACTAACGGGATCGGGTTGTCAGGCTCGCTGACTTGGTTGATGCATGTCATCGGTCCCAATTGCGTGGATCAATGCTCACGATGTCAATCACTGGAAGATCCGTGAAGATCCTGGGTAGAATAGGTCTCCAGCAACCCATGCTTGCCGTAAAGAGCAACTATGCTAGTTGTAAGAGGCGACTAATGGGATCGGGTGGTCAGACACACTGATTTGGTTAATGCATGTCATCGATTTCAATTGGGTGCTCACGATGTCAATCACTGGATTATCATTAAACTACAAACAAACATAAAGGGATTCAGATAAATTCAATGTTATTTTATCTGATCTCAGGTTAGCTAAGGGGTAGATACAAGTGTTTCGGTGGGGACAGGCTCTGGTTATGGCAGCACACTATGATGGGTTGGATCATTGCTCTTGGTTTGGTTAATGGTTTGACTTGATTATCTACGTGGTAACTCAATATTGCTGACTTCAGCAGAATACATCTACATATAGCTGTTCACTTATTTCTGTCATCAGTATATATATATTTGATGCAATTGCTAAACATTTCCTACCTGAACTCTATTATTGAATGTGATATGTAAATTCAGACAGGAAGTAAGAAATTCAGACAGGAAGTAAGAATTCAGAAATCTGCCACAAAAAATTTGTTTTGGAAGATAACAATAGAAAGCTTTAATGATTTCAATGTGGGATAGTTTGTTTCGTAAGGACACACAATTTACAACAGCTGTCACTGTCCATGTTTCAGGCCCACCCGAACCCCAGCGACAACTGGTCGCAGAAGGTTCTGCGTGCGGTCCGCATCCCAAACATGATGAGCCAGGACGTCCCCAACAGACCCCTCGACTACTACACCTGCCAGTTCAAGCGTTCCAAGCTCGACAAGTAGGCAGCTGACGACTTCTTCAAACAAACTAATTGACACGTATACAGAGATGAGAATGATTTTGTTTCAAGGTCACAGAGGATGTCCAATAGTTCATGTGTCATGGACTTCATATTATTAACATTTATGATTAATAAATATAATTTCTGTATATTTCATGGGATATACCACATTACCACAATGCAACAGTAAGGTTCTGGCCATGACACCTTTAAGCATGACTTTATTCAATTGAAATATTTTGGATAATTTCCTGCGGGGCTTGGTTGACATTGAAAGCTGCAAAATTGCAGATGCAGCATTCAACAATATTCCCCCTTAAACCTGCCTAGGCATCAGTCTCTTTGTGAATAGTCCTAGCTTGGTGCTCATAATATCAGTCACTGGGTTGTCTGGTACAGAGTAGGGGTGAAACAATACAGCAAGGATACGATACGATACGTATCATGATGCATAGGTCATGATATGATATGTATCGCGATACACATATTTATGTCAAACCACTGGAAACTTCTTGACAATAAATATTTCAGAGCAGGTTCAAAAGGAAAAGCTAGCTGTAGACACATGTTTGTAAGGGCTATTTTTAGTAGTGAACTTGAATCGGTAATTACAACACATTTTGCTGTATCTGAATGGTAAAAATGTCAGGGGTCATTAAACGAGTAGTAAGTAATTTATTTCAGCAAGTGTAAGTCTTGTATTGTTACAGAGAAAAACGTATTGTGTATCGTATCGTCACATAAAAACATGCACTGGTGCACTGATGTATACTGATATATGATGGTTCCCTAGTACAGAGTTGATTATTGACCGGCTGATGTGATATACCGTATTCGACATAATAAGCGCCCCGCTCTAATAAGCGCCCACGGCGATATTTGCTAATATATTGGCTAGTGAACAATCCCAATCGGCACCCCTTCCGATTGATCAGTGTACGCAAAACTTATTTATTCGTGCATCATACGCACTCGTGTGTTATATCACCCTTAATTATGGGCAATTAAATTCTTGAAAAATATATCTGTCGTATGTAAACATTTCAGGATGTTTGCATAAACCACGAAATTTACGATCTTTCAACTCAAAATAATGTTCTAATAAGCGCCCCCTATTTCTAATTTTGAGAGCGCCCTGGGCGCTTATTACGTCGAATACGGTAATTAGACTATTACTGTGTATGGTGTTAAAGCAATCAGAGAGGGAGAGGGAGGGAGCGAGCAACTCTGATGAACTATCATTATGAAACTCTATTAAGCTAAATGTTCTTACCTTGGGAAACAAGTTGACAGCTGTTATTAGTCATATTTACATTTTTTTATTGACCTGTAAAACATTTTTAAAAATTGGACAATCCAATACCTCTATTTGATCAAAGTTAACCATTTCTACAAGATATTAGCCCAAACAGATGATGTTTATTGCCTGACAAGTCTTTCTACAGGAGGGAAATATGGCCAATAATACCCAGGCATACAATACACGTCTATTGCACGTCGATTTCAGACATGATTGGCAGTGTTATTGACAACAGGTGTCACCAAGAATGGCACAAACAGCCATCAATACAACTTCAATACAAGTCATTTGGAGTGCCAAATTGCTCTATTCAGTTGTTGACATTGCGATAGGGAAGTGGAATGATAAAAATCTTTTTTATGTGGGAGGCAATATTGAAAATATATCAAGAGTATAATTGGATTTCAAGGCAAGACAAAGGTTAATTGGTATCTGTAATGACAGATGGTGTAGACCTGAGAGAAATACGCGTGTTGAGCAAATATGCTGTTTTCCTGAAGCCAGACACGTTGATTGTTTCTGATCGTTTATCTTTATTCAGCATGTCTGTTATGAATCCTGCTTCTGTTTCATGAATTTATTATTGAATTTATGAAATTTATTAATAACACATGTAACAAAATTAGATTTCATTTTCTCTGTAAGCATCAAGTCCATATCTCATTATAGCTTCAAAACAGGTATATGCTTATTAATTAAATCATGGATAAGGGACCTGTTCAAAAGTTTGATGTCAGATAAAGAACTTAATTCCATAAGTTTTTAGACATTACCTATCCCCATCCCCTACCCACCCCACAAAAAAATCCCATAAAAATAGCAATGACAAAAAAACAAAAACAAAAAATTCTGAAAATTTTGAATTCCAGAGTTTAGGGGCCCATTTTGTCACACATTCTTTGACTGAAGTTTTTTTGCTAGGTGTTGAAAATCATTTGGAGGGTTTTTATAGATCAAATCAGCCATTCTATATTACTCACTAGATGGACGAGATGGAAAGAACGGATGTATTTAATGATATCGCCGTAAGCACGCACTCATGCATGCTCGCACACACACCTCCCTAGGGCATCTGACATCAAACTTTGGAACTGATCCCTTATTTATCTTGAGTTCAATCTAAGGAGGACAGAAAAGAATGTAATTCTTTCACTGAGTTGTCTCCCTTATCCCATTATAGCTACAGGCCTGTAGATTGATAGGCTTTGTAGGTAATACCTCTTAAAGGGGAAGTGTACACGCAAAAATCACTTTCTTTCTTTTTCTAAACAAAACGCAATTTTAGAATTAGTTAGTATCTGTGTTTGAAAATATAAACTGATTTTGTTCACAGTGAAAGTAGGAAGCTCAAAATAGTGTGAAAATGCTATGCCGTTATGAGGCCTTCGTTTTTCGAGCTAAACAGGCCAGAGTTATCCCCCTTAGATTATGACGTAATTGGTGCCAATTCAACTGGGTCCCTGTCTATTCTCAACGCAAAAGATATCAAGTACACACTCCGGCGCAGTGGTGACTCAGCATAACACTAGACTGGCTGGCATCTGAGACGCTAGAATCACACACTTGTAGCTACACCACGTGAAGCGGCTCTAACAAAGCATGATGACGTCATAATGTTTATCAATTGGCACCAATGACCTCATATTGCAAGGGGCATAAGCCATGGTGTTTTTGTTCTGGAAATTAGAACATTTGGTAAATGTGAAAAATATAAATCGTTTTAATGCAAAAAATATGTTAATTAATTGTGATATTTTTATATTTTTGTCTATGACACTACTAGGTTAACACTTTTAATGTGCAAAAAGTACACGAAAAATAGGTTCATTTCCTTGTGAACTTGCCCTTTAAAGGTAGGTAACCTCTTTATCCTCTACACTTTTTCACCATCATGGTGGAGATACCACTCCATTGTCCAGTATTACAGAGACTATACCAGCATGGAGTATAGAGACAATGCGAATATCCATTAACTTCAAAATATGTGTTACCTGATCGAAATAATGGATATATGTTGCAGATATTGAGGATATTATATGACAGAGGGAAGATGATATTTAGGTCACTTTAAATGGGTTTTGTTAGACTAATGCTTTGAATCTATATGTTTTGATAGAAACAAGCAACTATGTTTAATTTGAAAAGGATCCCCATTAAGATCCTGAACCTGTGGAAAATCTAGACTTGTTTAATTCAGGGCGATAGCATTACAGAAAGGGTTGTGCGGAAGGGAAAATAATATGGTCCAGGGACTGTGAGGCAGACTAGGTTTTTCGTCTTAAACTGTGACTCTTCTCTTCCAAAACTAGGGGTCGACCCGCGCAGATGTGGGGTAGAATAGGTCTTCAGCAACCCATGCTTGCAATAAAAGACAACAATGTTTGTCAAAAGAGGCAACTATTGGGATCGGGTGGTCAGGCTCGCTGACTTGATTGATGCATGTTATCGTATCCCGATTGGGTGGATCGATGCTCATGATGTCAATCACTGGATTTTCTGGTCCAGACTCGATTATTTACAGACCGCCGTCATATAGCTGGAAGATGGCTGAGTGCGGCGTAAAACAAACAAACAAAACTTGAGGTCAACACCATATTTACTGTGTAAAGTTTCGAAATATTCGAAATGGCCAGCACGGCAACCGCTGTTTGTTTGAAATCCTTTGTGAGGAAGTCCTCTCCTTCAAAGGTACTGGACAGTTTTTTGTGTTAACAACTGACTTTCACTTTGTGCTAGTTGATTGGAGTCTAACTTTAATCCATGAGGTCCAAACTGTATGAACATTGGAGTATTGTTAGGATGTAAATAAGGTCAGATTTGCGTATGATCACATGTTTTCAACTATTAGCCGTGCTTGTTCAACTAATTAAATTCAGCCACACCCTCATGTGCCATCTTCGCTTCTCAACAGCATGTCAATGTCCGAAAGTTTATGAAATGAAATAATTTACAAGCTCGTTAAATATGACATAACTTTTCACAAAGATTTATACATCTACATCATGTACATAAGTAATTCTTGAAAATTAAGTTAGATACAGCAAAAGGATTGTAATAATATTACGGTATCACGATGCATGTGGAGTTGTTTGTTTACTGCCGTTGCCATGATCGTGTCGGATCAATCCAATCGATGATGTAACAATTCAGAATGTTTTTGTTCATGATTTATTAAATCGAAAGATGCTAATTTTTCTAAATTAAGGAATTTGAGTGTTTTCTTTTCATCAAAGAACCAAAAATTATAATTAAATAACAAAAATATCGGACAGGATGCGCCTTGACGTGAAGTGTCGCAAGCCAACAATGGCCATTACGGGTGGTGGTGTGGCGAGAAATTTGACCGATACTTTTTAACTTGTAGAATTTACTTTTTGAGGTAAATAAACTACTTAAAGTTATATATATAGAAAGCTGAGCATTTATGCATACCAGACACAATTAATAATCATAAATAATAGTTCTGTGTTTATTCATGTTAGAAAATTTCCAGGTTTTGGTTTGTTGTTTAACGCCGCACTCAGCAATATTCCCAGGAATGTGGAGGTAGTCAGTCAGTGTTTACCTCATCTCAAGAATACAGTCTCATGGAAAACATTTGAACATCAAACTTTATCTCACCTTACATTAATATTCTAGCAACTGATTGGTTAAGGAGCTGGAAATTATTTTCCATGTAGCCTGCTCAACTGAGAAATCAATCGGAACACATCGTAGATACCTTGCTTATTTCATATAAGTATCTTTGAGTGGAAAAAGACTGATGTTTATCTGAATGCATTAGGGGGGCACGGGTGGCCCAGTCGACTAAGGCACCGTGATTCGCTACACTGAGTTGCGTCCCGTTTTTTTGCACTTCAGAAACCTATGATTGTGGGTTCGAATCCCGGTTCGCCCCAATTATGTTTCTAGGGTTATCAGCACCATACCCGTGCTCATGGGTTTCACCGAAGTGGTAAACACCTGAGACCTGCATCACTTCGGGTTTTCCTTCCACATTAAGCTGACACGCCGTGATGTAACTGGAATACCGTTAAAAGCGGTGTTAAACCCAACTCACTCACTCACTGAATGCATTGGATAAAGGGAAGTAACTCAGTTCGTTTGCATCACCTGCTACGTGTTTTGCTAACTCAGTGCAACTGTTGATATATATTCCGGGTCTGTAGGAATGAATGTCCGTAAGATAAAGTTATTGTCAACCAATCCCTTTGGGCATAATGGGGCGGTCGGGTAGCCCAGTGGTTAAAGCGTTCGCTCGTCACGCCGAAGACCCGGTTTCGAATCCTGACATGGGTACAATGTGTGAAGCCAAATTTCTGGTGTCCCCCGCCATGATATTGCTGGAATATTGCTAAAAGCAGCGTAAAACCAAACTCACTCACTCACCCCTTTGAGACCGCCTCCGTGGTCTTGTGGTAGAGCGTCCGCCCGGGCCGCGTCATACAAAAAGACGTTAAAAGATTGTACTTGTTGTTACCCTGTCTGGCGCTCGGCATTAAGGGGCTAAAACAAGGACTGGTCGGCTCGGAGTCAGTATACTGTGTCTGAGTGGGGTATTCATGTTAAACTGCGGCATGGTATCTCAGTGAGCTAGCACTATAAATCGGCATCAGTCCGGACTAGTACAAGCAGCCACACACACACATACACGTGCATGCAAGTCGCTATATAAGTGCAATAATCTTGGACGCGACGTTAAACCCAATTTCACCTCACTCACCCCTTTGGGCATAAGCCTATGTATCACTCCAATGACGGCTCGGGGTACATAGACTCATACACAGGGGACATAATACAATATACCCCTGGAGATCCCCACTTATAGTGTAACTCGTACACTTATGGACGTCAGTTCACAGTCATGTGACCATCTTCACATGTTCATTGGAAAAGCCATGTATATTGTATTTTTCAAATTAAAAAGTTATTGGCTTTTTGAGGCAGTTCAAAGGTTTCAAATCAAAATGACCACCTCTGATTGAATCCACAGAAAATTATCTAAATTCAATTTAGAGTGGTTAAACCTAAGTGTAACCAGGCTCTACAGTGAACTCACGCTATGTTTATCTCCTAAATCACTGACTGACGGGGCAATAGAGTAGCCAAGAGGTTAAAGCATTCGCTCATCACCCCGAAGGCCCGGGTTTGATTCCCCACATGGGTACTATGTGTGAAGCCCATTTCTGATGTCCCCCCACCGTGGTATTTCGGGGAATATTGCTAAAAGCGGGGTCAAATCCAACTCATTCACTCACTCACTCACTCACTCACTCACTCACTCACTCACTCACTCACTCACTCACTCACTCACTCACTCACTCACTCACTCACTCACTCACTCACTTGGTGCTCGCAGGTTCCTTGGCCATGAGAACCACGACACGTTCTTCTCGTCGACTCAGAGGAGCCAGATGGTGTGGGAGATCCTGTCCACCGCCACGTACGGCAAGAAGAAGAAGGCCGAGATCGGAGTGGAGAGAATGATTGAGGAAGACACATTTGTTGCAGCGTTTCCCCTACATGATGTGAGTGACTCTTAGAAAGGAATTTATGTATGTAACACGCCAGCAAAATAAGCAGGAGTCTGTGCCCTCTCGGAAATGGACCAATGAAGAACGTGCAGTGGTCTAAGTGAGCCTTAGAAGTAAAACATAAACGTAGGGATGATAACTGTATGCAAATAAAAATTTCTTCACCAAAATTTGGTTTATTAAATTGAAATTGGTGAGGGGAGATCCACCACATCCAGTGAAAAGATTACTTCTGTTTTTTTAAACCTAAGAATAAGATGTTATTTTTTCAATAATTTTCTGGAACAGATTGTTTTGGTAAAAGAAGGTCCCATCCATGCATCCATGTCTATATTTCCTTATAAATGCTCTATAAATATACTATTCCTATATTCTCCACATCTATACCCCCTATGTGTATATTCCCTAATGCTCCATGTCTGTTACCTTGTCTATATCCTTGGCGAAGCTGAAGTCCTATGCCCATATTCCCCACATCTATATCCCCTATGTATATATTCCCTAATGCTCCATGTCTATTACCTTGTCTATATCCTTGGCCAAGCTGAAGCACCATGCCTATATTCCCTGTCTATATTCCCTAAAGCTCTATGTCTGTTACCTTGTCGATATCCTTGGCAAAGCTGAAGTCCTATGCCTATATTCCCCACATCTATATCCCCTATGCCTATATTCCCCACATCTATATCTCCTATGTCTATATTCCCCACATCTATATCTCCTATGTGTATATTCCCCACATCTATATCTCCTATGTCTATATTCCCCACATCTATATCTCCTATCTGTATATTCCCCACATCTATATCTCCTATGTCTATATTCCTCACATCTATATCTCCTATGTCTATATTCCCCACATCTATATCTCCTATCTGTATATTCCCCACATCTATATCTCCTATGTGTATATTCCCCACATCTATATCTCCTATGTGTATATTCCCCAAGTCTATATCTCCTATGTCTATATTCCCCACATCTATATCCCCTATGTCTATATTCCCCAAGTCTATATCTCCTATGTCTATATTCCCCACATCTATATCTCCTATGTCTATATTCCCCAAGTCTATATCTCCTATGTCTATATTCCCCACATCTATATCCCCTATGTCTATATTCCCCACATTTATATCTCCTATGTCTATATTCCCCACATCTATATCCCCTATGTCTATATTCCCCACATCTATATCCCCTATGTCTATATTCCCCACATCTATATCTCCTATGTCTATATTCCTCACATCTATATCTCCTATGTCTATATTCCCCACATCTATATCTCCTATGTGTATATTCCCCACATCTATATCCCCTATGTGTATATTCCCCACATCTATATCTCCTATGTCTATATTCCCCACATCTATATCTCCTATGTCTATATTCCCCACATCTATATCCCCTATGTCTATATTCCCCACATCTATATCCCCTATGTCTATATTCCCCACATCTATATCTCCTATGTCTATATTCCCCACATCTATATCGCCTATGTGTATATTCCCCACATCTATATCCCCTATGTCTATATTCCCCACATCTATATCCCCTATGTCTATATTCCCCACATCTATATCTCCTATGTGTATATTCCCCACATCTATATCCCCTATGTCTATATTCCCCACATCTATATCTCCTATGTCTATATTCCCCACATCTATATCTCCTATGTCTATATTCCCCACATCTATATCCCCTATATCTATATTCCCCACATCTATATCTCCTATGTCTATATTCCCCACATCTATATCCCCTATGTCTATATTCCCCACATCTATACCCCCTATGTCTATATTCCCCACGTCTATATCTCCTATGTGTATATTCCCCACATCTGTATCTCCTATGTGTATATTCCCCACATCTATGTCCAGGGTCCCTGGGAGAAACCGAAGCACTATGTTGCCCCCGAGGAGTTGAACCAGAGACAGGTGTTGTCCCGGTACTGGGCGCGGTGGGGCGTGTGGTTCAAGTACCAGCCGCTCGACCACATCCGAGAATACTTTGGGGAGAAGATCGGCATCTACTTCGCCTGGCTGGGTAAGTTATTTTAAGTATACAACTGGTACAATTTTGCAGCACCATGAAATTATAATTCTTGCATCATTATTGTAAAAGATGCCACGCTGGAGAATGAGCACTGGTTTTAGTATTCTATATTTGATTTTGCTGTGTTCCTGTAAGGTGTTTCATAGTTCCTGTGTCTGTGTTTCAGGTTTCTACACAGCGTGGCTACTCCCGGCTTCAATTGTTGGTGTGATAGTCTTTCTCTATGGCTGCTTGACTATGAACACTAATATCCCAGCGTAAGTCATGCATTGTGCGCCCGAGCTAATGTTCCCCTGCCCTGAGCTAATGTTCCCCTACCCTGACCTAATGTTCCCCTGCCCCGAGCTTATGTTCCCCTGCCCCATGCTAATGTTCCCATGCCCCGAGCTCATGTTCCCCTACCCTGAGCTAATGTTCCTGTGCCCCGAGCTAATGTTCCCCTACACTGGACTAATGTTCCCCTACCCTGAGCTAATGTTCCTGTGCCCCGAGCTAATGTTCCTGTGCCCCAGGCTAATGTTCCCCTACCCCAGGCTTATGTTCCCCTGCCCCAGGCTTATGTTCCCCTGCCCAGTACTAATGTTTCCCTGCCCCAGGCTAAAGTTTCCCTGCCCCAGGCTAATGTTCCAATGCCCAGAGCTAATGTTCCCCTGCCCGAGCTAATGTTTCCATGCCCCGAGCTAATGTTTCCCTGCCCCAGGCTAATGTTCCCCTGTCCGGGCTAATGTTCCCATGCCCCAGGCTAAAGTTTCCCTGCCCCAGGCTAATGTTCCAATGCCCAGAGCTAATGTTCCCCTACCCCAGGCTTATGTTCCCCTGCCCAGTACTAATGTTTCCCTGCCCCAGGCTAAAGTTTCCCTGCCCCAGGCTAATGTTCCAATGCCCAGAGCTAATGTTCCCCTGCCCGAGCTAATGTTTCCATGCCCCGAGGTAATGTTTCCCTGCCCCAGGCTAATGTTCCCCTGTCCGGGCTAATGTTCCCATGCCCCAGGCTAATGTTCCCCTGCCCCATGCTAATGTTTCCCTGCCCCATGCTAATGTTCCCCTGCCCGAGCTAATGTACCCCTGCCCGAGCTAATGTTCCCCTGCCCCAGGCTAATGTTCCCCTACCCCAGGCTAATGTTCCCCTGTCCCGGCTAATGTTCCCCTGTCCGGGCTAATGTTCCCATGCCCCAGGCTAATGTTCCCCTGCCCCAGGCTAAAGTTTCCCTGCCCCAGGCTAATGTTCCAATGCCCAGAGCTAATGTTCCCCTACCCCATGCTTATGTTCCCCTGCCCAGTACTAATGTTTCCCTGCCCCAGGCTAAAGTTTCCCTGCCCCAGGCTAATGTTCCAATGCCCAGAGCTAATGTTCCCTTGCCCGAGCTAATGTTTCCATGCCCCGAGCTAATGTTTCCCTGCCCCAGGCTAATGTTCCCCTGTCAGGGCTAATGTTCCCATGCCCCAGGCTAATGTTCCCCTGCCCCATGCTAATGTTTCCCTGCCCCATGCTAATGTTCCCCTGCCCGAGCTAATGTACCCCTGCCCGAGCTAATGTTCCCCTGCCCCAGGCTAATGTTCCCCTACCCCAGTGCTAATGTTTCCCTGCCCCAGGCTAATGTTCCCCTGCCCCAGGCTAATGCTCCCATGCCCCGAGCTAATGTTCCCCTGCCCTATGCTAATGTTTCCCTACCCCAGGCTAATGTTTCCCTGCCCCAGGCTAATGTTCCCCTGCCCCAGGCTAATGTTCCCCTGCCCCAGGCTAATGTTCCCCTGCCCCATGCTAATGTTTCCCTGCCCCAGGCTAATGTTCCCCTGCCCCAGGCTAATGTTCCCCTGCCCCAGGCTAATGTTCCCATGCCCCGAGCTAATGTTTCCCTGCCCCATGCTAATGTTCTCCTGCCCAAAGCTAATGTTCCCCTGCCCGAGCTAATGTTCCCGTGCCTAGTGCTAATGTTCCCCTGCCCGGGCTAATGTTCCTCTATCAGGTGCTAATGCTGTGTTTGTGTTCCAGTGTGGAGGTGTGTACGAGTGCGGAGAAGTACAAGATGTGCCCCCTGTGTGACGAGGACATCGGCTGTGAGTACTGGTACTTGTCTGACGTGTGCCTATTTGTGAAGATTGCCTACCTGTTTGATCACCCGGGGACCGTCTTCTACGCTGTCTTCGTCTCTTTCTGGGGTAAGATATTGCAGTTCTACCAGTGAATATGGATTACTTAATATAACTGACAACGCTCCAATAGGCCTAGGGGCGGTAGGGTAGCCTGGTGGTTAAAGCGTTTGCTCATCCCACGGAAGACCCATGTTCGATTCCCCACATGGGTGCAATGTGTGAAGCCCATTTCTAGTGTACCCTACTGTGATATTGCTGGAATATTGCTGGAATACTGCTGAAAGCGGCATAAAACCATATCTCATCCAATTGTCCTTCAGGTACTGGGGGGGCGGTCGGGTAGCCTAGTGGTTACAGCGTTCGCTCGTCACGCCGAAGACCCGGGTTTGATTCCCCGCCGTGATATTGCTGGAATATTGCCAAGAGCGGCGTTTGATCCACACATGTGAAGCACATTTCTGATGGCCTCTGTCTGACATTGCTGGAATATTGCTGAAAGCTGTTTAATCCATCCATCCTATCTGACTCACTCAGCACTGTTCAGATGCAATGACTTCTGAGTGGTTGGTTTTGGTTGGTTGGTTTGTTGTTTTACGCCGCACTCAGCAATATTCCAGCTATATGACGGCGGTCTGTAAATATTCGAGTCTGGACCAGACAATCCAGTGATTGATATCATGATCATGGATCCACGCAATTGGGATCGATGACCTGGATCAACCAAGTCAGCGAGCCTGACCACCCGATCCCATTAGTCGCCTTTTACGACAAGCATAGTCGCCTTTTACGGCAGGCATGAGTTGCTGAAGACCTATTCTACCCCGGATCTTTACGGGTCACTTCTGAGTGGACCAAACTGAGAAGTATGTGAGGTATTCGTTGCAAAGCCCTACAACATACCCAAGAGTCTGTTATACTCAGTTAATTCTTTAGATTTCTATTTCCATGCCTTTGTCTACCCGTATCCTTCAAGCTTGGAGGGGCACAGGTGGCCCATCGTCTAAGGCACCATGATTCGCTGTGCAGAGTTGTGACCCTTGGGCACGCAAGAAACCTAAGATTGTGGTTTCGCCCCAATTATGTTTCTAGGTTTGTCAGCACCATACCCTTGCTTGTGGGTTTCACCGAAGTGGTTAACGTCTGAGACCTGCTTCACTTCGGGCTTTCTTCCCACATTAAGCTGACACGCCGCGATATAACTGGAATGCTTATAAAAGTGGCGTTAAACCCATCTCACTCATGCTTGGCTGTTACCAATTTGACCAGATCTAATTCATTCAATATAGTGTTTGATACAGTAAACTACGGTTAACAAACTCAAATGGATGACTACTTTTGGTGTGTTATAAACGTAGTTCGTTATGAGCATATATACAGTAAATGGTCGGGACAAAAAAAACAGTTTGTTATATCTGTCTCTTTGTTATAAGCGTGTTCTTTAGAAACATAGTTTACTGTATATTACTGAAACCAAGTTAAAGAACACCCACAAATTGACATCTTCCAGAGGCAAGAGAGTTAACTGACTTTGAAAGTCCAGTTTCCACCCTTGCTGAACTAGGCTTGATCGTAGCGCCACCAGTGGCTATTACGAGTTATGTCCTTTCTATGCCTCTCCTCTAGACCAATCAGATTCAACCTCTCGTATCACTTGCATTTGCTTCAAACAAAACGGTGGCGCCCAATCTAGACGATCTGATCGATAATCAAGATCTATATTGTGATAAAACGAGTCTGATATCGCGAAGTGCATCAAATCACGTGAGCACCTTGATTAAAAACATGAAAAGATTTAGAAAATATCTGTTGACAACGAGTTAGCGGTGCACATGCTTTGCAAATCCTGCAGTCTACCGAAATCTGCATGACACCCTACGAACCGGATTTCGATTTCGGTGCAAGATTTTGATTGGACTATGCATAGACAAAACATAGGAAACAATACCAGCCTAGTTCAGACTTTTATAGTCAGTTAACTCACTTGCCTCAGGAAGATGCAATTTGAAGGCTGTGTGTTGCAATATCCACCAGCCATGACAGATTAACTAGATACTGTAAATCATGAAATTAATGCATCTACGAAAGAATGCGACTGCTGGCCCCTAGCCAAAAATGTGACTCAATATGAATGAGACACCACCCATCCTCTCAAGCATCAGTGGATTTATATCTAAAGAAAATGTCCTCTGTCAGGTTTACAGGAGAATCCTCACCTTAGTCCAACCTTACATTAATCCAATCACACACCAAATAGCACCGCTTATTAGCGCGGGAATAGAGTACTTCCACTACATGCGCGCTGGCTCGTGTCGGCCTTTGATGCAATTGCAAAGAACAAAGACACTGTGTTGCGTGGGTGGCGTCTGTCTGGATTTGCAGGTGTGATCAGTGATGACATTAGTGAGTAGAACTCTTGTCTTGACCCCAGCAGTGACAATTCACAGGATGTAATTAGTGTTTGAATGACATTGTTTATGTATTTGTTACAAGTGCTGCTCAATAAACAGTGGTGTGGAATATATACCGTATTCGACGTAATAAGTGTCCCGCTCTAATAAGCGCCCATGGCGATATTTTCTAATATATTTGCTGGTGAACAATCCCAATAAGCAGCCCTTCTGATTGATCAATGTGCACAAGACTTATTGATTCATGTATAATACGCACTCGTGTGTTATATGCACCCTTAATTGTGGGCAATTGAATTCTGGAAAATATATCTGTCGTGAATGATACTCACATACTTTTCTTTTGTATCATGTCAGGCTGTCGGCATAAACTACGAAATTTACAATTTTTCAACTCTGTTTTTGTTCTCACCAAAATTATATTCTAATAAGAGCCAACTACTTCCAATTTTGAGACCGCCCCGGGCGCTTATTACATCGAATACGGTAGTTGTTTACTATGTCTAAGTTGGTATTTCTGCTATCCAAAATGTCTTATTGTTGATATAAATGCAATGTTTAATAATGCGAGCAAAGACCACTCGCATTTAATTCATGCTCGCGTGAATTTCAAGATTTACAATAATGAAAAAATGTTTGTTTGGTTGGTATGGCATGTTTACTAGACCTTGCTTCTGTGGTTGAATGAATGTTGAATTAATTCTGTGTCCCCAGCTGTGACATTTTTGGAATACTGGAAGAGAAAGAATGCCAGCTTAGCTCACCACTGGGACGTGCTGGACTTTGAGGAGGAAGGGGTAGGTCTTGGTATTAAAGAAAGGGATAGGTCTTGGTATTAAAGAAAGGGGTAGGTCTTGGAATTGAAGAAGGCGTGTGTCTTGGTATTTAAGAAAGGGGTAGGTCTTGGTATATAAGAAAAGGATAGGTCTTGGTATTTAAGAAAGGGATAGGTCTTTGTATTAAAAAAAGGGATAGGTCTTGGTATTTAAGAAAGGGATAGGTCATGGTATTTAAAAAAGGGATAGGTCTTGGTATTTAAGAAAGGGATAGGCCTTGGTATTTAAGAAAGGGGTAGGTCTTGGTATTGGAAGAAATCGGTGGTCTGGGTTTTGGAAGAAAGGGGTAGGTCTGGGTATTGCAGAAAGGGGTAGGTCTCAGTATATGGGAGAAATGGGTAGAGGTGGGTATTTTGGAAGAATGGGTTTGGGTGGGTATTGGGAGAGAAGGGGTAGGTCTGGGTATTGGGAAGGAAGGGGTAGGTCTCTGTATATGGGGAGAAATGGGTAGAGGTGGGTATTTTGGAAGAATGGATTTGGGTGGGTATTGGGAGAGAAGGGGTAGGTCTTGGTATTGGGAAGGAAGGGTTAGGTCTGGGTATTACATGTTGGAACTTGCTCTGTATTACATTTGCTTGGCTTCAGGAGCGCCCCCGACCTGAGTATGCTGCCAAGGCCCCTGAGTTCAAGGAGAACCCGATCACTGGGGTGAAGGAGCCCTACTTTAACCCTCGGGACCGAATACCGAGGATACTTTCTGGCATGGCTGTCATTGTCATAATGGTGAGTCACATAGTTGAAAGGGCTCATTTGCCTAATAAAACATTTCTTGTATCACAGCAATCCCATTAAAATCAGATCTTAGTTCTCGCTACCGCCAACCACAGATCTGAGGACATCCCATTACAGGTCGCTTCAGAACAGCCCTTTCGCAAAGAAGGGGTAGGTCTGGGTAATGGGAAGGAAGGGGTAGATCTGAGTACCCCTTTCTTCCGTCATATAGCTGGAATATTGCTGGGTGCGCCGTCAAACAACAAACAAACAACCTGGATTTTGTTCATAATGTTGTTGTTGTTGTTGTTGTTGTTACACTATGTTCATGAATAGAATTGCCTGACATGCACAATGGTTACTCGTAGGGCCGAAAGTCCTGGTTCTTTTCCCCACACGAAAATTGTATGAAGACCATTTCAGGTGTCCCCTACTATGGTACAGCTTGTATATTGATAAAAAATACTTGTAGCCATATGGCCACTTGCTAAAAATGTAAACTTTGAGGCCTGAAACTACGACTGTCTGCTTGTGTTGCAGATGGTGCTTGTCATCGTGTTCATCATCGCTGTGATCATGTATAGGGTGCTTGTGAGCATCCCACTGTTCGAGAACAAGGCGCTGCGGTCGAAAGCGTCCATGATTGCCAGCTTGTCTGCTGCCGTAGTCAACTTGCTGCTTATTATGGCGCTCGGCAGGGTGTACGAAAAACTGGCTTTAAAACTCACACAGTGGGGTAAGAAAATGTACAAATCACTCTCTCACCATGCAATTAGGTACTCCTTGTTGATTGGTTGCTGAACAGGTGTGCGCCTGCTGACAGATAAGGTAAAAATATTATGTAACCCGCTGGGAAATGCCAAATTTCTTACCAATGTTAAAACAAATGGTTACATTACTGGAAACAAAAGCAATTTAGCAAACTTAACTGAGCATATCCGATTTTAACAATGTGTTTCATATTTTGTGATATTATACATTTTGACCTTAATTTCAGGCTTAAAAAAAGAAAAGAATTGGTTCTTAGCGGGTTTTTTAAAATATAGTGCGGCCGGGCGGTGCGTTTGTTTTCTTTCCTAGTTCAAACTTGTATGTAACCAAATAAACAGTTGTGTAACCAAATACGATCAACCTGGGAAAGAGCCTCCCTTATGAGTATTCCTTGATGAGTAAATTACGGGAATACCCGTTGGAGTTGGAATATTTTAGGATGTTTGGTTTGTTTTTTAAAAATGGAAATAAAAACGAAACTTGCGGTGAACGTTATGATGATGTGAGCGGTGCCTGAGAACCAAGACTATTATATTTTTTAGCCAAACCTTTACACTTTGACCATGCACCCAAAGTTTTTCAAAATACTTTCCCTCACACTGTAAACATCTCCTCAGAAACATGAGGCCACCGAAGCTGAAATTTTAACAATGATAACACCCCAAATTTGTTCCAGATTTTAGAATCCAATCAGCCACAGCAGCCATATTGAAGAATCCATTTTCGGCCATTAGGCTAAAAGAAAATAATAGTCTTGGTTCTCAGGCACTTCTCATAAAGTATGCCGCACATTACATTTTTAAATCAATTTTTTAAAATTATATATAAAAAGTCTAACTTGTATTCCAGTATTTTACTCATCATTTAAATGTAGGGAGGCCCTTTCCCAGGTTGATTGTACACAACTGTTTATTGGTTACGTACTAGTTTGTACAACTGAAAAAAAGAAAAGACACCGTCCGTCTGCACTATTTAAAAAAACATTGCCTGAGAACCAATTCTTATATTTTTTAAGCCTTACTCTGCCAGTTTTGTTCAGAATGCACTGAAATTTGGTATTTGTATTAGTTTCAATATATTATGTGGCTGAACGTATTTATCACTATGATGACATCATATTTAGTTCAGATCATTAGATTTTAGTGTCAGTTTGTAGTCATCCGTGTTTATGGGGGGCACGGCTGGCCCAGTCGTCTAAGGCGCCCCGATTCGCTCTGTAGAGTTGCGTCCTTTTGCCACGCCAGAAACCTATGATTGTGGGTTCGAATCCAGGTTCGCCCCGATTATGTTTCTAGGTTTGTCAGAACCATACCCGTGCTCGTGGGTTTCACCGAAGTGGTAAACATCTGAGACCTGCATCACTTCGGGCTTTCCTCCCACATTAAGCTGACACGCCATAATATAACTGGAACACTGTTAGAAGCGGCGTTAAACCCAACTCACTCACTCACTCACTCATCCGTGTTTATGCAGAAAATATTTGAATAGCAATGTTGACAGAAGCTTTAAAGTGGCTGTATAATAATGTGTGTTTTTCTCCAGAATATCAAATGTCTCTTATATTTTCTTCTTTTATGCAACATGTCCCTACAGAGCGTAAAATTTCGAATTGATGGACTCAGGTTGTTGACACGTTTATGCTTGTCAAATAAACTAAGTCAGTGGTACCTGAAGAATGAGAGCAGATGATATGATCCCATTTTCAAAGAGCTCCTGAAGACTCACTGATCAATTGGCCATCAAAGCATGCTGTTCAATGTGTTGCTTTGATTTTTGCAGAGATGCATCGAACTCAGAGCGAATTTGAAGACCAGCTGACATTTAAAGTGTTCATTTTCCAATTCGTCAATTTCTACTCCTCCATCATCTATATTGCTTTCTTCAAAGGAAGGTAAGACAGTCTCTCGCTGGCCTTCAGACCGGTTCCGTTGCTAGGACATTGACTGATTGTGTTCCAATATATGCTGAAGCTTGTATTCAAATAGGGCAATGATATGGAAAAACATTCATCAAAGTTAATAAAATCATGAAAATGTCCTAATGCTATTTATCTGTTGCCAAATAGATTAGTTAGATTTATACCCCAACAGTGATCCCTAATTGTGTAGTATTTAAAGGGGGACTTAGTGCTTGTCATAAGAGCCAATACTATTGTGATAGAAAGAGAACGACCCCAACTGTCACACCTAATATAAGTAGTATTTAAAGGGGGACTTAGTGCTTGTCATAAGAGCCAATACTCATGTGATAGGAAGAGAACAACCCCAATGGTCAAGCTTAATATAAGTAGTATTTAAAGGGGGACTTACTACTGGTCATAAGAGCCAATACTATTGTGATAGAAAGAGAACGACCCCAATGGTCAAGCTTAATATAATGAGTATTTAAAGGGGCACTTACTACTGGTCATAAGAGCCAATACTGTTGTGAAGGGATGAGAACGACCCCAACGGTCAACCGTAATATAAATAGTATTTAAAGGGGGACTTACTACTGGTCATAAGAGCCAATTCTGTTGTGATAGGAAGAGAACGACCCCAACGGTCAACCGTAATATAAGTAGTATTTAAAGGGGGACTTACTACTGGTCATAAGAGCCAATAGTATTGTGATAGGAAGAGAACAACCCCAACGCTCAACCCTAATATAATTAGTATTTAAAGGGGGACTTACTACTGGTCATGAGAGCCAATAGTATCGTGATAGGAAGAGAACAACCCCAACGGTCAACCCTAATATAATTAGTATTTAAAGGGGAACTTACTACTGGTCATGAGAGCCAATACAGTTGCTATAGGAAGAGAATGACCTAAACTGTCACACCTAATATAATTAGTATTTAAAGGAGGACTTACTGCTTATCAATAGCATCAATACCATAGAAAGAGAATGACCCCAATGGTCATGCCTAGTAGTATTTAAAGGGGGAACTTACTGCTTATCAATAGCATCAATACCATAGAAAGAGAATGACCCCAATGGTCATGCCTAGTAGTATTTAAAGGGGGACTTACTGCTTATCAATAGCATCAATACCATAGAAAGAGAATGACCCCAATGGTCATGCCTAGTAGTATTTAAAGGGGGAACTTACTGCTTATCAATAGCATCAATACCATAGAATGAGAACGACCCCAATGGTCATGCCTAGTAGTATTTAAAGGAGGACTTACTGCTTATCAATAGCATCAATACCATAGAAAAAGAACGACCCCAATGGTCACATCTACTTGTATTTAAAGGGGGACTTGGCTTGGATAATTGGCAGTCCAAGCAAATTTGATTAATGTCCCTGAAGTTCCTTGTCCTGCTGGTTCAAATTGTATGAGTACCATTTCAGTAATTATGAAACCAAATTACAAGGACAATGTCTTAGTTTGTCACATGGTTTTATCTATGTCTAGGCCAAGGCAGGGCACCAGATGTGCAGCAGAGCATCCCTTTAAGATGTGGCTTGAATTCAGTTGTGGTGTTGCCATCGCTTAAGATAATGTTACCTGATAAATGATAACACCATGTAGAGACGGAATAGTTTCTCTGTTTAATATCTGTTTCACTTTTTCCAGATTTGTTGGCTACCCAGGCCATTACAGCCGATTGTTTGGCTTGAGGAGTGAAGAGGTAAAACTAGAACAGGAGAAACATGTTCTTCTATGAAATAATACACAGTCTTATCAAAGCTATTAATATGTTTGACCACCTCTGTGGTCTAGGGGTAGAGCGTCTGCCCGGAGAGCGGAAGGTCCGGGGTTTGATCCCCGGCCGCGTCATACCAAAAGACGTTAAAAGATGGTACTTGTTGTTAGCCTGTCTGGCGCTCGGCATTAAGGGGCTAAAACAAGGACTGGTCGGCTTGGAGTCAGTATACTGTGTCTGAGTGGGGTATTCATGTTAAACTGCAGCATGGTATCTCAGTGGGCTAGCACTATAAATCGGCATCAGTCCGGACTAGTACCCGCAGCCACACACACTATATAAGTGCAATAATCTTGGATGCCACGTAAAACCCAATTTCATCTCACCTCACTATTGATATGTTTATAGAATCATGAGACACATGAAAGTTGAATTATAAATATGTTTTAAGTTCAAAGAACTAAATAAAGTTGAATTTTCAATATCCTAAGTGGAATTTTCAGACGAAATGTTAAACTTTATAATTGTGATATAATATAAGTGTGTGCATTGTATTGTTACAGGTAACATGTTTCTGTTACAGTGTAACAATGGAGGCTGTTTGATTGAGTTAGCCCAGCAGCTGGGCGTCATCATGATTGGTAAACAGATGATAAACAACGCACAGGAAGTGTTAGTGCCGTAAGTAGCGTCATCCGACTCAAACCAAGATTACAGACTAATATTTGGGAGTAGATTTCTTAATTTGGTTGAATGAGTGAGTTGGAAGCGCCATCGGACAGTTATTTCAGATGAATATTTGGGAGTAGATCATAATCAGGGTGAATCTGTGAATTGAACCAATGACACATGGATCCTGGCACAACTAAGGGATGCAACTCTGAACAGTAAATGGCAGCATCTTACACCATCAGTGGCATTGCATAACTTTTAATAGAAGGAAGTTTTGTTTTCTGTTTAGAAAGTTTGCACGTAAATTATACAAATTTCTTGACAATTTCTGTACGAGTTTCTACATTTCAATGCCACTCCCATAAATTCAGATAAGTAACAGTCTGTGTTAGTGGGTAGGTAATATATATATCTTAGCAAAGCACAATCACTAAAGATGAAATACAAGGGCTTGTAGTTGGGAGATCTGTTGTCATGGTGTGCACTGGCGATGAACAATGATGTCGTGAAACCTGCTGATGATGATGGTTCCCAGTGAAATCATCCAGGTGAACACAGTTCTGGATTAAGAATCCATGGGTGAGGAGAAATGTCCTTAAGTATACAGCAGCCATCGTCCTTCAGGCAAGGTTTCACAAATTGACAGGGTTTCCAGACTAACAGGGTTTCTGTGTCTAAGGACAGCCCTCGTTCTACCCTTGTACTCTGTGTCTAAGGACGGCCCTCGTTCTACCCTTGTACTCTGTGTCTAAGGACGGCCCTCGTTCTAACCTGGGATTCTGTGTCTAAGGACGGCCCTCGTTCTACCCTTGTACTCTGTGTCCAAGGACAGCCCTTGTATCCCTGGTACTCTGTGTCTAAGGATGGCTCTCGTATCCCTGGTACTCTGTGTCTTAGGACGGCCCTCGTATCCCTGGTACTCTGTGTCTTAGGACGGCCCTCGTATCCCTGGTACTCTGTGTCTTAGGACGGCTCTCGTATCCCTGGTACTCTGTGTCTAAGGATGGCTCTCGTATCCCTGGTACTCTGTGTCTTAGGACGGCCCTCGTATCCCTGGTACTCTGTGTCTTAGGACGGCTCTCGTATCCCTGGTACTCTGTGTCTAAGGATGGCTCTCGTATCCCTGGTACTCTGTGTCTAAGGACGGCCCTCGTATCCCAGGGACTCTGTGTCTTAGGACGGCCCTCGTTCTACCCTGGTACTCTGTGTCTTAGGACGGCCCTCGTTCTACCCTGGTACTCTGTGTCTAAGGACGGCCCTTGTTCTACCCTGGTACTCTGTGTCTAAGGACGGCCCTTGTTCTACCCTGGGACTCGGTGTCTTGTGCCCTGTATGTGATGGTTTGTTCTACTCTTCCAGGAAAATGAAAACATGCTGGCATCGGTTTAAGGCAAGGATAGACAGCAACGCCATGCAGACTCGGTGGGAGGAGGATTATAAACTCATCGAGAATGAGGGACTGTTCCAGGAGTACCTTGAGATGGGTGAGTTGTTGGGGTGGGTAGACAGGTATAAACTTACCAAGAATGAGGGAATATTCCAGGAGTATATGGAGACAGGTGAGTTGTTGGGGTGGGTAGACAGGTATAAACTTACCAAGAATGAGGGAATATTCAAGGAGTACCTTGAGATGGGTGAGTTGTTGGGTGGGTAGACAGGTATAAACTTACCAAGAATGAGGGAATATTCCTGGAGTACCTTGAGATGGGTGAGTTGTTGGGGTGGGAGGAGGATTATAAACTCATCGAGAATGAGGGAATATTTCTGGAGTATATGGATATGGGTGAGTTGTCGGGGTGGGAAAGAGGTGTAAACTTACCAAGAATGAGGGAATATTCCAGGAGTATATGGAGACAGGTGAGTTGTTGGGGTGGGTAGACAGGTATAAACTTACCAAGAATGAGGGAATATTCCAGGAGTATATGGAGACAGGTGAGTTGTTGGGGTGGGTAGAGAGGTATAAACTTACCAAGAATGAGGGAATATTCCAGGAGTATATGGAGACCGGTGAGTTGTTGGGGTTTGGTAGACAGGTATAAACTTACCAAGAATGAGGGAATATTCAAGGAGTATATGGAGACAGGTGAGTTGTCTGGGTGGGTAGACAGGTATAAGCTTACCAAGAATGAGGGAATATTCCAGGAGTATATGGAGACCGGTGAGTTGTTGGGGTTTGGTAGACAGGTATAAACTTACCAAGAATGAGGGAATATTCAAGGAGTATATGGAGACAGGTGAGTTGTCTGGGTGGGTAGACAGGTATAAACGTACCAAGAATGAGGGAATATTCCAGGAGTATATGGAGACAGGTGAGTTGTCTGGGTTGGTAGACAGGTATAAACTTACCAAGAATGAGGGAATATTCAAGGAGTACCTTGAGATGGGTGAGTTGTTGGGGTGGGTAGACAGGTATAAACTTACCAAGAATGAGGGAATATTCCAGGAGTATATGGAGACAGGTGAGTTGTTGGGGTGGGTAGACAGGTATAAACTTACCAAGAATGAGGGAATATTCCAGGAGTATATGGAGACAGGTGAGTTGTCTGGGTGGGTAGACAGGTATAAACTTACCAAGAATGAGGGAATATTCCAGGAGTATATGGAGACAGGTGAGTTGTCTGGGTTGGTAGACAGGTATAAACTTACCAAGAATGAGGCAATATTTAAGGAGTACCTTGAGATGGGTGAGTTGTTGGGGTGGGTAGACAGGTATAAACTTACCAAGAATGAGGGAATATTCCAGGAGTATTTGGAGATGGGTGAGTTGTTGGGGTGGGAGGAGGATTATAAACTCATCGATAATGAGGGAATATTTCTGGAGTATATGGATATGGGTGAGTTGTTGGGGTTGGTAGACAGGTATAAACTTACCAAGAATGAGGGAATATTCCAGGAGTACCTTGAGATGGGTGAGTTGTCGGGGTGGGTAGACAGGTATAAACTTACCAAGTATGAGGGACTGTTCCAGAAGTACCTTGAGATGGGTGAGTTGTCGGGGTGGGTAGAGAGGTATAAACTCATCCAGAACGAAGGACATGGTTCTGTTTGACTTGCTGCTGATGTGTGCTTATGTCTTGGTCCTCCAGTCCTACAGTTCGGCTTCATCACCATCTTCGTTGCTGCCTTCCCACTGGCGCCATTGTTTGCCCTCCTCAACAACTGGGTGGAGATACGCCTTGATGCCAACAAGTTCGTGAGTGAGACGCGTCGCCCTGTGGCTGAGCGGGCGGAGGACATTGGGGTGTGGTTCCAGATCCTCGATGCCCTGGCACAGTTAGCCGTCATCAGCAATGTACGTAGTATACCCTGTCTACTGAAAAAATATTTCTCAGATATTCAGCCCCTGTATGGGAAACAACCATGTATGTATAACAGCACAATGTTATTCTTGTAGTCCTGGACAATATATTCTACTCAATAGAAGTTAAGGAACACTAAATTTTTCATACGTATATTGTTAATCATTAATGGCTGGTGGTTATGTATAGGATAAAACACGTCTGAGGGTTGTTAGGATATTTAAAACACACATTTTTCCGAGGAAAAGGGTTTTAAATATCACAACAACCCGAGGGGAAGTGTTTTATCTAACTTATAAACCAAAAAAAGAAACTTAAAACAACATTCATCAACATTTGTATGTTTCGAACATACTTTCCATGAACATTAGGAAACGGGCGTAAAATATCTGTTGTTTGCATACGGATCTTGAAAAGAACATTCTAAAAAGCAGTGCGACTTATCAACGCCTCTCTAACCTTGTCTGGGATGCAGAGCTCCAGATAACTTTTTGAGCAATTGAGTTTTTACTCAAAGGTTTCTATTTTAATTAGGCTATTACATTTCCATTGGGTAACCAATATTTTTTTTCACTCATCTGTTCATCACTCTATTGGTTTTTTTCCAAAATGAGTAAGCATTTTGAGATTTAAAAAAAAATGAAATAATGTTTTAGATGTATATAACGGTTCTAAATATAGGCTTGACTCAGAAAGTAAATGAGCTAGTAATCGTGTTTCGGAAATTAGCTCCATTGTACTCATGCTGAAAAACCTTTGTTGGGTATTTACGCATGATGTTTTCAAAAATTGTGCTTTTCATTTAATGCATGCGTTTCTGTAAGCTAGTTAATTGAAATTAATTGGGTTTTGAATAGTTTTGGGGGTTATTTTATGCAAATACGTGGCTTATCTGTAGCTCTGGGTATTGATGATATTTTACTTTGTATTCTACACAGTTCAGTTTGGTTTCAGCGACGATGCAACAACTTTGCAGGATTGGTAATGAGAGGCCTCAATGTGATGAAACATTTATTCAGTATTGCTTAGATATGGAAAAACTCCCTTGAGTAAAATACGAATAAGTTAAGATTAAATTTAATATTTAATATTTTTCTTGTCTCAGAGGATAAAGTATGCTGAGCCTGGATAAATAATAATATTAATTTTCTCATTCAACTATTGTGATACAGCACATAATATCAGAAAAAAAATAGAACCCCCTAAATAATAACATACACGTCTGGTGATTTTTTATCTCAAATTTCGAATTTGTACCGACCAAGTTTCTCATCACCCGTTCGTTTACCGGAATTCGCTGAAGGGGTAGATCTACGGGGTAATTTTTTTCTGCGCTTGACATTCAAATTTCTTTCCAAAATACTGAATCCGCTAGAGGGGGATGCGCATTATACATGGGTGCGCACTATACTCAAGAAAATACGGTATTACCCTGGTATGAAACTATAAGATACATTTCTCTTGCCCAAAGTCATCATTTATATAGAGTAGATTGATAGGCAAGTACCTTCTGCTTTCCCTTTATTGACAAATCAATTAAAAGAGTAAATATATTTGTAATAAGTTGAGACATTCGTGATGACAAGTTTTAGCAAACCACGCTGTATGTGATGCGTTGACTATTTTCAGGCCTTCCTTATAGCTTTCACGTCGGAGTTCCTGCCACGATTGCTGTACCAGTACGAGTACAACTGGTCTCTTAGTGGCTACACCAATTTTACACTGTCGACATCGCCGAACGGGACAATGAATGAAATCTGCAGGTACTGACACCACTAACCGTCACATTGTCTTTTACAGGCGTTCCTAATCGCATTCACGTCCGAGTTCCTACCGAAACTCCTGTATCGGTACGAGTATAGCTGGACGTTGACAGGGTACACAAATTTCACCTTGTCAGATGCGCCGCCAGGCACTCTGAAACAGCCGTGCAGGTAGAACTCTTTGTGTTCACAGGTGGCAGTCTTTTTTTTTTAATACATCTTCAAAGTTTTGCCATTTGGCTTGTCATGTAATACCATGGAAATTGCTCAAAAGCTACAATCAATTCACTGTACACTGAGATCGGGGCGGTCGGGTAGCCTAGTGGTTAAAGCATTCACTCGTCACGCCGAAGACCTTGGTTCGATACCTGACATGGGTGCAATGCGTGAAGCCCATTTCTGGTGTCCCCTGACGTGATATTGCTAAAAGCGGCGTAAAACCATACTCACTCACTCACCCATAGTTTAGCTCAGCCGGGAACAATGAACGGATCTGTGCCCTTTGTCTGTCAATTACACGTGGCCGTAGGTGAGTTGAAATAGAGTTCATGTTGCGTCAAAGATTATGGCACTTATATAGTGACGTGCATACAATGTGTGTGTGGCTGTCTGTGTGTGTGATTTTTATAGATTTTATAGTGATAGCCCATAGAAATATCATGACGCTGTTTAACATGAATACCCCACTCAGACACAGTATACTGACTCCAAGCCGACCAGTCCTTGTTTTAGGCCGTTAATGTGACAGGGTAACAACAAGTACCATCTTTTGACGATTTTTGGTATGACGCGGCCGATGATCGAACCCCGGATCTTCCGCTCTCCGGGCAGTAGCTGTAGCTACCATTTTCACTGACATGCTTCGCCATGAATCGAAACTACAATAATATCAGTTTTCAATCTTAGTCTCTGGGAGAAACCTTGATTGTCATATTTGCCGTGATGGGGTGTGCAATGAAAGGGCCTGGCTTCCAAAGCACAGCAGTTGTTGCGTGAGGACAATTATCAATTTCAATACCTTCCTGTAAAAAATTTTAAAAATTTAAAAACCATCAATTTCAAAATATTTTTTTTATTTTAAAGAAAGGATTGATGGCAGTCTGCGACTTGTCCAGTGACTTAAGCTCAGCTAATAATAGTCCACATAATGACTCAAAATTCTGCTGAAAAAGATGCTAAGAGCCAAGTTAGGCTCGCAGTCTTTAACTATTTTGGCCCAGACTCTGATGACTTGTCTGAACTTTTCCCACAGAGACCCCATGGCACCGTTCCACAAATTAATCTTAGCGATAATCACCTCGGATCACTTTGCGGAACAGGGCCAAGAGCCTCACACATGTAGAGACATCAGGGCTCCAGTTGCACAAAGCTATCTTAGTGCTAAGGTGATCGTAGCTCACAAAGGCTTACCTAGGCTAACAAAGGCTTACGATACCCATCATGCTAAAATTGCTTTGTGCAACGGGCCCAGGGCACTTTGGGCTAAATCCGTAACAATAGTTAAATTATTTTCTGGACATTCTTCATTTTTCAACCCCAAACCAACTTTGCTCCTAATTTCCTCCAACTTTAGTGTTGGCATTTCTCGGGACCAAACAAATCTGTTTTTCATGATTTTTCGTTCAAGGTCATTCAGCTTCCTTATGAAATTGCTTCTTGACATGTTTTGTCAGAGTGCATCTGCCATAGATTTAACGATTTTACATTCCCAGATCCCTATTTCAATTTCCTCATCATGTTTTTGTGAAATCCAATCATTCTCTTCATCCCTGTCAGTTGTTCCTTCACCTGCCGAATCTTTCCAAATTTCACAGGATATGGATTTTCTCCGATTTTGAAGCATTTTACAGTTGATTCATTTGAATCATGGCTTTTCTTTCTTCTTGTTCCTGTACTTCATTAGCGAGAAATGATGTTTTATTATGTATTAATTCAGAGTGATTGATTAGGATATTTCTCTGACATGCATATACTCCATGTGATTGGGCTTCGTCTTATTTTACATTGTCAGTATTAAAAATTTAGGGGCAGTTGGGTAGCCTACTGGTTAAAGCGTTCGCTCGTCACGCCGAAGACCTGGGTTCGATTCCCGACATGGGTACAATGTGTGAAGCCCATTTCTGGTGTCCCCCGCCGTGATATTGCTGGAATATTGCTAAAAGCGGCGTAAAACCATACTCACTCACTCACTCATTTTAATAAATGAAAAGATTATATCAATATTAGTGTTATCTTTATATTTCTTATAAATCATTTCATTTCATTTTTTCCTTCTATATGTCATGCATCATTCATATGTTAGTTTTTACATAAACTTGAGGTTTGTGAAAGGTAAATGAGTTTGTTTTGCGTTGACATTCTTAAACATACCTGTCAATGCAGTTTTAATAAAACGGTCTGTGACACTATTACCAGGTAGACATTTCTGTTCAATAGAACAATCAAATTATTCATATATTTCTTTTTTGGCAAAGCAAATATATATGTACACATGTTATAGTTATTTTATACTGCCTTCATATGTCATACACACAGTTGGAAGGTAAGTAGTACTTGACTGCAGTGGGTGAAATGATACACCGTGCACACCGTATGTATTGAGTGAGTGAGTTGGGTTTAACGCCGCTTTTAACAGTATTCCAGTTATATCACGGCGTGTCAGCTTAATGTGGGAGGAAAGCCTGAAGTGATGCAGGTCTCAGACGTTTACCACTTCGGTGAAACCTGCGAGCACGGGTATGGTGCTGACAAACCTAGAAACATAATCGGGGGTGACCAGGATTCGAAACCTACAATCATAGGTTTCTGGTGTGCCCAAAGGATGCAACTCTGCACAGCGAATCACGGCGCCTTAGACGACTTGGCTACATATGTATTGAAGCTATATGAAGTTTTCATGTTCTCCTGTTCTACTACCAAGCTCCCAATGTCAGGCAGAGATTCTGTCTGCTTGTTGGAATATTGTGTAGGGCTGACCTAGTGGTTAAAGCGTTTACTCGTCATGCCGTAGACCTGGGTTCGATTCCCGACATGGGTACATTGTGTTAAACCCACTTCAGTGTGTCCCCCGCCATGATATTGCTGGAATATTGCTAAAAGCGGCGTAAAACCATACTCACTCACTCACTCATTGTATGTGGCATGCTTGAAGACACACACAAAAACAAGAAATCACGACACATTTTGTTGGGGGATCCAACATGTCTTGCGAGTTAAACAGGAGAAAAAATTATTTCTCTAGAATAAAAAATATTTTTAAAAATTCCACGCATCCTACAGAATATCATATGGTAGGTGCCTCATACAGTCATGGCCAGGGTTCTTGCAATAACTTGATGTATTCTGCCCCCCAGATACAAAGACTTCCGAGATCCTAATGGGGAGTATTCCTTATTTTACTGGCGGCTCTTGGCAGTCAAGTTAGGATTTGTTATCTTGTTTGAGGTAAGTCACCAGTGTGTAAACTGGGTGGAACACCAGGAATAGTATTTCAGTTTATGTCGTGAAAGTCGAAATTGTTAATAACATTTAGTGATTAGAACTAAATGCCTTTATGTCAACGTCAGGCTTGGCACTGTTGCTCTTATTATTACAGCTAAATACCTTCATTCTGTGCGTCTACGTGCTGGTTTGCACGGTGCCATCGTCTTTAGCCTAGATCCGCTCTTGGCACGTTCAGAATAGGAGCGTTTGTTTATATTTACTATGTCATCTTGTTGAGTGGCATCGGATCAAGTGGCACTTGCTCTCCAGCTTTCAGCCATACAACACGTATTTTCTATTCTCTCATTCAACTGTGGTTTGTTGCAGTTGCTAACTTTTTTTGACAGGGGGGGGCAAATATTTGTACAAGTATTACTTGTCCCCAACTTGATTCAAATAAAACTGTTTTCTATAAAAATAATCCCCCCCCCCCCCCCGACTGCCTACAGCACTGAGTTTGTTGTTGTAGTTGTTAATTGGTGCCAGTTAGACAGGATGTAGTTTTCTTTAAGATGAATAATTTATCCATATGTTGTTAACGTATTGGTTAAGTGTACAAACTGTTATATTTTTCTGCAAACTGTTGTTAGAAAAGAGAGATTTCCCTATGCATCAAATAGTGTGAAGGTATGTGTAGTTAATAAGTTTGTTTGTTGTTTAACGCCACACTCGGCAATATTCCAGCTATATGCAGTCTGTAAATAATCAAGTTTGGACCAGACAATCCAATGACTGACATCCTGTGCCTCAGTCTATGCAATTAAGATACAATGACATGCATCAACCAAATCAGCGAGCCTGACCACCCGATCCGTTAGTCACCTCTTACAACAAGCATAGACGCCTTTTATGGCATGAGTTGCTGAAGACCTATTCTACCCCGGATCTTCACGGGTAGTTAATAAGTGCACCAAGAGCAAAAGAATGCAGAATAACACCCTCGATGACTGCCGTAGTTACACTCATAGTTTTACCTAACTGTAGACACCAGGGTGCCGTTGTACAAAACAACCATAGCGCTACGACTGTCGTAAGTCTGGGAGTTACGATAACCTCAGCGTTAAGATGGCTGTGTACAATGGCACCCTGACTGTTTATTTGTCGTGGGGATGATGTCATGCAGTGTGTACAATGGCACCCCGACTGTTTATTTGTCGTGGGGATGATGTCATGTAGTGTGTACAATGGCACCCTGACTGTTTATTTGTCGTGGGGATGATGTCATGTAGTGTGTACAATGGCACCCTGACTGTTTATTTGTCGTGGGGATGATGTCATGTAGTGTGTACAATGGCACCCCGACTGTTTATTTGTCTTGGGGATGATGTCATGTAGTGCGTACAATGCGACCTGACTGTTTATTTGTCGTGGGGATGATGTCATGTAGTGTGTACAACGGCACCCTGACTGTTATATTTGTCGTGGGAATGATGTCATGTAGTGTGTACAATGGCACCCTGACCGTTTATTTGTCGTGGGGATGATGTCATGTAGTGTGTACAATGGCACCCTGACTGTTTATTTGTGGTGGGGATGATGTCATGTAGTGTGTACAATGGCACCCTGACTGTTTATTTGTGGTGGGGATGATGTCATGTAGTGTGTACAATGGCACCCTGACCGTTTATTTGTCGTGGGGAAGATGTCATGTCATGTTTTCGAATCCCTGTTATGTCATGACACTAATGTTACAGCATGTCGTGTTCGGCATCTGCCGGATGATTGACATCCTGGTGCCGGACGTGCCCGAGGCGCTGGAACTGAAGATCAAGAGAGAGCGCTACCTGGCCAAACAAGCCCTGGCTGACACAGCCACCATAATGATGGTAAGCGGAGACGGAGAGATCAGCATCATTCATTGTAAAAGAATTGGTTAAAAACCATTCGTTTGTTTGTTTGTGCATATTATTTGGATTATATGGCCAATGTATTCTTGTTGGTTCTTTTTGTTTTTTAACGCCACTCTCGCAGTCTGTACATAACTAAGTCTCGACCAGACAATCCAGTGATTGATAACATGAGCATCGATGCATGCAATTGAGATACAATGACATGCATCAACCAAGTCAGCGAGTCTGACCACCTGATCCAATAGGTTGCCTTTTACGTCGCTTATTCCTGTTATAGAATCTGTTATTTGTTGACTAGCCGTCTTGTGTTAGCGTCGCTATATAAGTGCAATAATCTTGGACGCGACGTTAAACCCAATTTCACCTCACCTCTTGTGTTAGCATCAATCAGCCAGTTGAACAAGATCCTGTTGTCAGGCAGATACACATTGCCTATTTCCTGTTATAAAATCTGTTATTTGTTGACTAGCCGTCTTGTGTTAGCATCTATCAGCCAGTTGAACAAGATCCTGGTGTCAGGCAGATACACATTGCTTATTTCCTGTTTTAGAATCTGTTATTTGTTGACTAGCCGTCTTGTGTTAGCATCTATCAGCCAGTCGATCAAGATCCTGTAGAATCTGTTATTTGTTGACCAAATAAGTTGGCTTGTCTGCCACAATCATGTTGGAAGGGGGATAACTCCTCCATAAGGTGTTTAAGGTGAATAACCAGAATTAAGGTGAGGTGAGGTGAAATGGGGTTTAACGTCGCGTCCACCAGAATTAAGTTAATCTGACGTCGGACTGGTGTTTAATACTTGTGTATGTTTGTAGATGGCTGCTGGACAAGAAGAGGACGAAGGTGACGCCGCCCCGGAGAACGTGGAAATAACTCTCCCCGAGAAATCTGTGTAATGCTTGGGTCGAGCGATCTCAACACATTAGGTTCTCATTTAAACAACAATCCACCTTAACCACTCGTTTTTTGTGTGTTGATTTAATACTGCTTTTTTCATATCCCTCTCATGAAAGGCACACACACTGTTATTGATTTTGTTCCTGAAGAAAAAAGATTTTATTACCTCTTAATGGAACCCATGTTGCAGATGACCTTAGGAAAATGGAGGTCAGGCAGCTTGGGAGAAGGTGATCTCAGATATCTTCTAGTTTCATTTGAAAACTTCAGTCACTGCTACCTCAGGAGCAAACTGAACAAATTTAAAATAAATATTTTCTTCCTCTTTAATTTTCCTACTTGATCGATGTGCCTTTAATGTCGGTTTAATCCATTTCTTTCCATGTTCAGAAATACTTAATTCTTTGAAGTTTGACTTTCTTCTTGAACCAAGAAATCCCACCCAAGTTGTAACAGATTGTTACAATGTGTCCATGTCATCACTGTGATGGCTCGAGTTGGACAGGTTACCTTACCTGAATGTTTCTCAAGAAACAGGTGCTTGTTTCCTAGGCTAGATATTAATAACAACAGTTTTACAGTATTACAAATCCCGTTTCTCAATTATCAAATTTGAAGAAAAAGAAATATTGTTAAAAAAACAACCTAAAGTAATTTCCAATTTAGATGGGGAAGGGCTTTTTTGTCAGAAGTATTTAACTTTTGTTTACAAGATGTGTATAAATAATTTTAATGTTGAATTTTGTCTGTTTGTTTCGTTTGATGTTTTAAGTGTTTAAGAGCAAATTATGTACAGCGAAAGCTCATTAATTCAAACTTCATAAATTGTTTATCGTTTGAGACAAAGTTATTGTTCCATGATAATCCTGATCGGCACTGTGAAGTAAAAGGACATTGCTTGAGTCAAACTAGGAATCTGCCATAAGAAACTAATTATTAAACACTCGTCTTACATATAATTGTCCCCAAGTACCTACAGAGGAAGAAATACACACTGAGCCCCTACTGTCCCCATATAAATGAAAAACACATATACGTAGTCCGTCAGCATCGTCATGCTTCATGTGAATCCACTGACGTTCAATGCACACAGATGCCACAAACAGCTTGTTTTAAATAAAATATTAATTTAAAAAAATAAAATTAGCAGAAATTTTGATGCTGCATTTCAACAATATACTACTCAAAAGAAGTGAAGGATCACACGATTTTTCCATATTGCTATACATATAGTAAATCTGTCATGTCGTGACAGATTAACTATAGTATTATAAAGAATCGAAAGTGGGTATGTCCGTACCCCGTCTCATATTTTTCACAGATTGGAAGAAAATCTTTCCATTATTTATTGTGGCGATCACTCAGTATTTGTCAAGTAGACCCAAGGGTTCTCGGTGTGCTTGTATGTGTTTGCAGACATTCCAGTGAATGGTTATGTGAATCCTTATGTGCAGTCACTCTTGTCCCTATTGACTTCATCAGCAGAATCTGATGCCAGACAGCAAGATGTGCCATGTAGCACAGTTTATTTCTGGGCATTGTTGTTAGAACCAGCTTTTGATATTTCTGTTACTGTATTCGATGTAATAAGCGCCCAGGGCGCTCTCAAAATAAGAAATAGGGGCCTCTTATTAGAAAATTATTTTGGTGGAAAAAAACAGAATTGAAAGATAAATTTTGTGGTTTATGCTGGCCAATATATTAGCAAATATCGCCGTGGGCGCTTATTAGATCGGGGCGCTTATTACGTCGAATACGGTAAGTATTGCCCCTACATTGGCTTCATGTGTCACCGATGTCCAGAATATATGGTTGTGCCCCTTCGGAATGAAGTTATACTGACAGTCAGGCCACAATAGACTGATTATTTGTTCGTCAGTTGTTTTCGAGTTCGAATCCCGGTTCGCCCCAATTATGTTTCTAGGTTTGTCAGCACCATACCCGTGCTCACAGGTTTCACCGAAGTTGTAAACGTCTAAGACCTGCATCACTTCAGGCTTTCCTCCCACATCAAGCTGACACGCCGCGATATAACTGGAATACCGTTAAAAGCGGCGTTAAACCCAACTCACTCACTCACTCATGATGTTGGTGCGTCCAAAGTTATATTTAACAGTGTAATCACCTGGAAACATACGGTTGTTGGTTAACCCCACACTCAGCAATATTCCAGCTATATGACGGCGGTCTGTAAATAATCGAGTCGGGTCCAGACAATCCAGTGATTGACATCATGAGCATCGATGCACCTATTCTAACCAGGATCTTCAGGGTTTGGGAAACATTCGGGGTAATTCGTACAGTATATTTTGAAACTTGGTAGGGAAGGTCCTCCTTGGGAATAATATTATTATGAAACTGAAAATGGTTATTTTATGGTCATTGTGTTATCAACTCCAACAAATCTCGTTAAGAAAAACAGGCGTCAGTTACGACAAACAAATAATCACTTTGTTGTTGCCCTGTCTTTTGATAATTTCAGATTGTACATATTGTGAAAATGAGAATGTAAATATTCACACATATTTGCTCAATCTGTACAATTTTGTATTTAAAACAGGTGCATTGTTTACTACCTTTCTTACACTTGTATCACAGAATTTTCAACTTTTCTCAACTTTATATGAAAGACGATCTGTTTGTATTTTTGCACTGGTAGAGTGTATATTAGATTCCCCTATACACAGTGTGACAATTAAGTGTGAAATTAGCTTTCTCGAACACATTTTTTGCAAATTGAGACAAACTGTATTCAATCTCTGTTTAGTATTTCATGGTTTCCCCTGTATTGCTGTTTAATACTTCACACGATGCTATTACTGTTTCTTTCTTTCTATCCTGTCCTCCACACTTGATTTTTTCCATCTCTCAGCTTTGTCCTCTACGTAATGTCCCCTCTCCTCTGTCTATCCTTGCTCCCATAAAGACTATGTATCGCTATCAACATTTTTTGTTATATTCAACAAATCTGCTTCAAGTCCATTTTCTTCCATATTTTGCTCAAACATGTCTTCATTTTAATACCCCTAATTTTGTTTCTGTTTTTTTTTTCTCCTTGTTATTCTCCCTTTCCTTGCTCGCTATATATCATTATTGATCTTTTCCATTTATTTTTTAACAAATCTGCTTCAAGTCTATTTTCTTCCATATTTTGCTCAAACATGTCTTCATTTTAATATACCCCTACATTTTTTTTGTTCTGTTTTTTCCTCCTTGTTATTCCCCCTGTCCTCCATCTTTCCCTGCTCGCTATATATCATTATTGATATTTTCCATTTATTTTCAGCAAGTCTGCTCCAAGTCCATTTTAACTTTTGTTTTACTGACAAGTTTTTATTTACCCCTGTTGTCTCTTTGTTCTCTGTTTTCTCCCTGTGAGCTTGAATATTTTCATCTTAAAGGGGCATAAGTCCCAACCAGTTAGAATTACCATAGTCCCTGTATTAAGCGTCCTGATACAATAAGCACCCCGACTTACTTTTTTACCAATCTGTAAGTAATCTTTTTCACACCCTAATAAAACCAAAAATAAAACACGACAGTCCATATGTTCTCGTGTATTTTTACAGATTAGTTTACAGGAAAGAGCAGTGTAGAAGGAATATAATTGCCCAGTAATTTTAATTGTAAATGTTTTAGTTTCTTCGACGTTTGGACTATGTTTGTTAACTACTCCTCGATCTCTGACAACAAATTAAACTTGGTATTTATGGTTTTAATAAGCGCCCCATTTGTCAGTTAAGCGCCGGGGTATATGGTAAGTCTTTCCAAACCTACTCCGTTCAATCAGACGACTCCAGTTATATTATATATACCGTATTCGATGTAATAAGCGCCCAGGGCGGTCTCAAAATTAGGGGGCTCTTAGTAGATTATTATTTTGGTGGAAAAAACAGAGTTGAAAGATAAATTTTGTGGTTTATGCTGACAGACTGAAATGTTTATATATGACATATATTTTTCCAGAATTTAATTGCCCATAGTGAAGAGTGCATTTAAGACACGAGCGCGTATTATACACGAATAAATAAGTCTTGTGTACATTGATCAATCGGAAGGGGTGCTAATTGGGATTGTTCACTAGCCAATATAGTAGCAATTATCGCCGTGGGGGCTTATTCGAGCGGGGAGCTCATTACGTCGAATACGGTATCATCTAGAAATGTTTGACTCCCATCTGATAGTCACCCTCAGTTTAACATGGATGTCGAGAGTTACGCTGAACTTAGGCAAATAGCACACAGTCCCTCTACAAGAATGAATATTGAATAACAGCATCAATATTGTAAAGTATCTTGAATTACTTGATAACCTGTTTTTGATTCATACAACTATACAATAAAACAAGCCAATAGGTCCTGACATCACATTAGTCTCTCCGTTACCTTTCAGATTACGACGCACGTCACACAGTTTTAAAATTAATAAACATTTTCTCTCCATCCTTTCTTCTCAGCTGTATGTCTCCAAAGTACTGTGATATATATAACTACTCCTTTGCAAGATGTCTCTCCTGTCATTATATCATCTTGAGAAATATACCTCAAATATTGTACAGCTGTGTCGAGCACGTGGCTCCCATTACAGTCCATTAACTCACCACCATTGCTTAAAACACACATCGATAGAACAGGGTTAGACGTGTACAGACCCACGTTGCATGCTTGTCAGATATGTTTTTTGACATTTTCAAGAATCCTTCTAAGACAATCTGTTTTCGTTGGCCAATATAGGTTATACTTCATTTATTTTCACCTTCGAAATTCATTTTTGAAATTGTTGACTTCTCATAATTTGACATTAATGATGTAGGAATAACCCTTGGTTTTTGGTGTTTATTTCACTGTTTTTCACTATATATGATTGACTTATCACCCGTGCATTGCATGTACTGATATCACACAGTATTCAATAATGGCTTGGTGAAATACTATGATTTACAAACAAATATAATAATAATTTAATCTTCATCTGTCCTTAAGTACAAGTTTGTTGTTCAAAGCATAACCTTCAGTCTCCAGGGGAGAAGCTACCTTCCCATCCTGTCTCACTGGTTGACCCTGAAGATGGGCCATCCACAATGACATAGATAATATTCAGATGGACCATCAACTGTCAAACTTGTTTAGTGTATCTTAGGATCAAAGCTCACTTTCTGTGTGGTTTGTTTGCATAAATTAATCACTTTAAAATTAATTTTCTCCTTGAAATATTGACTGTTACATAGCACTAGCTCAACCATTTTATTAACATTTGATATGCATTATAAGCCTGCTATTTTGCCATAATACATACCAGCCAGGATTTATAAGAAAAATATTATTAATATTTTTTTCAGAAGAGTAGCCAAACTTGTTTTTTGTCAGGGGGAGAAAGAAAAACCTCCTGTCCTTATATAATGTTGTCAGCCCTAAAGCCATTGTTTCAATTTTTGGGGCTTCACTAACACAGTTAGTCTCTTGGTCGTGGTCACTTATTGGTCAAGGCTGTAGTTGTTTCATTCAGTAGAGCAGATGTTGCCACATCTTCATTGTAGTTGAATTCTTCCCTTTGTAGACCAATGTCCCAGGTGACAGGTTGTAGTGTTTCTGTGTTCTAGCGCTACACCATCAAACTCTCGTTTCTCTTCCCTTAACACCGAACACTTGTTCAGGAGCTGCTGTCTTTATTACACATCTTAAAATGGTTTGGGAACAATTACGAATTTAGTCAATAGTATCTATTTTCTGTTGAAAGTTACACACATGATGTGCTTAGTGAGAAACATGCAGAAATAGCTTAATGTACATTTCAAGGGAGACTACTCTCTGTACAAGGGAGACCACTCTCCAAATAGCCTTTGAAAAGGGAAGATAACATCTCTACTCTTGAGACAGCCCTCCAAGGGAAACAACCCCTAGCAAAGGAAAATTACCCTCTGAACAGTCACAATTATTGGAAAGGAGGGTGATTATTAGATTGCTGATTCTGGAATGAATATTATACTGCATGTCTACATGGGCTTTTCAGCTTGTTGTTGAAGATGTTCCTTCACCAGATGACCTGCAAGGTGTATTGTTTGTTTGTCAGTTATTGTACATTGCTCTCCATGACTGGGCCTATCTTGTTTTGGCCCGATGATATATATACATACCCTTGTTGGCACAATAAAGTGCAATATTTTCACTTCAAAATGGTGTTTGTTGTTCATGTTACAGTCAATGTGTAAAATTTACACATTTGTTTGTTGTTTACACTGCATACAGCAATATTCCAGCTCCATGATGGCGGTCTGTATATAATAGAGTCTGGTTCAGACAATCCAGTGATTGACATCATGAGCATTGAAGTACACAATTGGGATATGACGACATGCATCAACCAAGTGGGCAAGCCGGACCACTCGATGCCGTTGGTAGCCTCATACGACAAGCATGGAGGTCTGTTGCTGAAGACATATTGTAACCTGAAATTCTCACGTAGGCAATTTACAAAACATTTCCGTCAATTTACAATTATTTTTTCGGGGGATTGACAAAAAGTTATTAAGTTCAAAAGGGCTTAAAAACATCAGAATAGACCAAATATGCTGTGATAGAAAGCACAAAAAAATAAACATTGACTTGCGTGTTCTTTTTAACCTATCATTTGAGTCACTGGTTGATGAAATTGAGCATAAAAATGTTTGGAATCTGTTGTCATAATACAATAAATGAAAAAAATAATTGTAAAATACTGATAATCATGGCATTTTGTAAATTGCCTAAGTGAAAATTTCATTTTGAATATGGACTGATTGTACACATTGACTGTAACCATGGTAACACATACACGTCAGAGGGGAATCCAGCTACGCTGCAACAGATCTGGAGTACAGTGTCTTGATTGCACAGCCGTACAGGACACAGTTTGGTGTTCCTTCTGCAGGAAACAGGGCGGTCGGGTAGCCTAGTGGTTAAAGCGTTCACTCGTCATGCCGAAGACCCGGGTTCAATTCCCGACATGGGTACAATGTGTGAAGCCAATTTTTCCATTTCTGGTGTCCCCGGCCGTGATATTGCTGGAATATTGCTAAAAGCGGCGTAAAACCATACTCACTCTGCAGGAAACAAGGGATAATAATGTTGCACTTTTTAGACATGCATCAATAGTGAGTATTGTTTTACGCCACTTGTCACCAAAAACCTGTCTATAATAAACTGCATGGCTCCCCTTTTACAATGTTTGTTTATCTTGGACAATAGCTGACAACATCTTGACTTGAACAAACCAATTTCATGAAGCTGTATCAACAGCAGTGTTGGTGTATATGCACATAAATCGTATGGCATTATATCGCAATACAGAGCTGTAATACGATACATATTGCAAAATGTATTGGGGTTTAAATTTGTAATATATACATACTTGTAGTGTTTAATCTTTGAGCTATCGCTAAGTTTAGATGCTGAACTATTGGAGTTACAACCATCTCAAGTCTGTTAAAGTATGGAAGAATGCTATGTGAAACGTGGTCCTAAGACAAACCTGTCTTAACTAAGACAAATCTTAGTGACTTGTGGGGGTGGTCGGGTAGCCTAGTGGTTAAAGCGTTCGCTTGTCATGCCAAAGACCCGGGTTCGATTCCCGACACGGGTACAATGTGTGAAGCCCATTTCTGGTGTCCCCCGCCGTGATATTGCTGGAATATTGCTAAAAACGCTGTAAAACCATACTCACACACTCACTTAGTGACTTGTGACAAACATATTGAAACAGCATCCATGTGGTTGGTTGGTTTGTTGTTTAACGCCGCACTCAGCAATATTCCAGCGATATGGCGACGGTCTGTAAATAATCGAGTATGGACCAGACAATCCAGTGATTAATATCATGAGCATTTTAACGTTTTCGAGGTTGCATGTTTAGAAAACACCTTCCGACTGTCACTTTCATGATCTGGTAAGCGACGCTTTGATTGGTCGGATGAAAGGTCGGTCTTACGTGACCCGTAATGGGATGTCTTCAGATCTTTGTTTAGCGATAGCAAGAACTAGGATATGATTTTAATGCGATTGAAATGGCATGCAAAGGAAAACAGTAATAGATTCATTTACATCAACAGCAACATTTATTTCGCAGTGTTACATAGTAACAGTCAAGTTATAAGCTGAGATATAGCAGTCCAGTCTGTTTGTCATTTGTGTCATTTCCATTAAAAATAATAAACATCAAGTTGTTGTTTTTTTGTGTGTGTTTTTTATAAGTATCAAGTGTGCTTCACTTGTAATGAGTAAATATCCCATACAATATAGACATTCGCATTGAAGAAAATAATATTTCATGGTCATTTAACGAGCGCATTCACCGCATGATCAAGACACTCACTGTCTATACAATTTTGTCGTAAACTTCAAACACAAACTCTGTTCCGTTATCTGAGTGTACGCCTGTAGGTACGTCTTCAACACACTCAGTCTTCTTGAAATGCAACTCATCTAGAGAAGGCATGAACGTATCACACTCAAACTCCGCCATCACTCGGGTAAGATACACCCGAGTGCTCCACGGGCCTTCAATTGCTTCTTTATACACGGAACTGCCACCGATCACAAACACAGAGTCTATCTTGTCCTTCCCTTGTCTCTCGGTATACTCAAGAGCTTCCTCCAGACTCCTCGACAGAACCACGCCTTCTGGAGATGTGTCCATGGTCCTGCTCAATACAATGTTGATGCGATTTTTCAAAGGGCGAAATTTGGCGGGAATTGAATCCCAGGTCTTGCGACCCATTATCACCACGTTTGTTTTGTTTTGAGTTGAGCTTGATGTAATCGACTTGAAAAATGCCATATCTTTCTTAAGCTTCCATGGTAGCTGCCCATCTTTGCCGATACCGCCGTTCTTACATGCAGCAACAACAAGCTTGAGACGAAACTCCGCCATGTTTAGGTTTAATATTCCCACGGCATACCATGCAGCCTTGATCCCTGGCTTGGCGCAAGTTGACGACGCGCATAGGGAGCCGGGAACCAGCTTTAACCCAGGCAATGACTACAATGGCCGCCTCCACCAGACGAACAAACATGGCGGACACGACATGTTTCTACTGTAGAAAAACACTAGAACGGGTGGTTATATTTTTTTCATAGCATTTTCATCAATGCTATTGCAATGTATACGTCACGAGAATAACGTCTATTGTTACTTTAAGTGAAGGAAAACATTACTTAAGCCGTTTCGAGACGCGAAAGTGGTCGTCGAATCGGCGAAATGTAAACAATGACACACACACCATTTTCAACAGTGATGTTTTCGTTAATATTACGTGTCAACTCACTGTTGTCATGAAATCATACACATAATACATGAAATTAAACGACCACATCAATGAAACATCGTTAGCATCTTTAGTTTAGCTAATCTGATGAACCAGATGTCGCCCCGTTTTCTCCCACTGTAAATTGGTGGGTTTAGCGGGGTGCAGGCTAAAACGGCACCTCAGCAAAACGTCACCGATTTCTCTGGCGAAAACGGCTTGAGTCGAGGTGCCGTTTTCGCCCGGTGACGTTTTGCTGAGGTGCCGTTTTCGCTATAACCCTGTTTAGCTGAGTTATTGAACGCCAAGTCTAATAACTAGAAAAAATAAACACTTTTGATCCGTAATAATGGTATTTAATGTTCTGACATTTGGCCTCACGTGATAAACAATCTATTTGGCATTTGTTTTCTTATTACACAATGAAATTAATCATAAATAGATCTAATAATTTTGGATAATGTGGTCGTTTAATTTCATGTATTATGTGTACGATTTCGTGACAACAGTGCTAAAACTGCATCAAAGTGGCTACAACGGGACCAGTTTACAGTAAATACGGAAATATAACGAAAGGATTGTGTATTTATGATTTATTTAGGTATGTCATTCACCATCAAAAGCACGTGAGTTTCGTTCCATCATTATGACATGCACCAAAAGAATCCACTAACTACTAAATTCTATACATGAAGAGCTTAGAGCCACAAGGGCCAATGTCACGTCGAGTCCGTTTTGAGAAAAGTAATGAAAACCATATTAACCATATGCATGCTAATGAACATTTTTTATTCACCTAAATTCCTAAACTTTAACATATTTTGAAAGCAGACCTGTAAATGTTGTTATAAAAAACATTCAAAAAAAGGAAATGAACTTACTTTTTTAATTTGTGTAAGGGTGGAAAGGGCCAATATGTTAGTATATTGGTCCTTTTTGCCCTCGGGCAATTGCATGGGATTTAACATGTGAGATTGATAAACTACTACTGAAAGTACAAACACATACTATGAAGGTCTTTTAAATGATTAAAACTAATGCCAACTTTGTTGAAATAGTTGAGACAAAATAATAATGTGTTTTAACTTTCAAAATCTCTTTAAAGGGCAAGTTCACACGGAAATGAACCTATTTTTCTTGTACTTTTTCCACATTAAAAGTGTTAACCTAGAAGTGTCATAGACAAAAATATAAAAATATCACAATTAATTAACATATTTTTCGCATTAAAACGATTTATATTTTTCACATTTACCAAGTGTTCTATTTCCACAACAAAAACACCATGGCTTATGCCCCTTGCAATATGACGTCATTGGTGCCAATTGATAAACATTATGACGTCATCATGCTTTGTTAGAGCCGCTTCACGTGGTGTAGGTACAGTTTTGTGATTCTAGCGTATCAGATGCTAGCCAGAATTGTGTTATGCTGAGTCACCACTGCGCCGAGTGTGTCGTAGACCATGTTGTTTTACCGCAAACTGGTCCTTGATATCTTTTGCGTTGAGAATAGACAGGGACCCAGTTGAATTGGCACCAATTACGTCATAATCTAAGGGGGATAACTCAGGCCTGTTTAGCTCGAAAAACGAAGGCCTCATAACGGCATATCATTTTAACACTATTGTGAGCTTCCTACTTTCACTGTGAAAAAAATGAGTGTATATTTTCAAACACAGATACTAACTAATTCTAAAATTGCGTTTTGTTTAGAAAAAGAAAGAAAGTGATTTTTGCGTGTACACTTCCCCTTTAACAACCAGTCTCAACCATACACAGAAATGAGAGCTAAAAGGGCCAAAATCTAACAAAGTGATTTTGGCCCTTTTGCAGAATATATATTACAGAAACGTATAAATGAAAACATACAATAATTATTCTACAAGTAGACAAGTACTCATAGATGTTATATATGCATATACTATACAAAAAAGGGCCAAAGTGTATTTTGGCTCTAAGCTCTTCACATATTTACAAGAACACACTTCACAAGTAGTCCGACAATGAACATCACTGCGGCACGGGGCGGTCGGGTAGCCTAGTGGTTAAAGCGTTCGCTCGTCACGCCAAAGACCCGGGTTCGATTCTCGACATGGGTACAATGTGTGAAGCCCATTTCTGGTGTCCCCCGCCTTGATATTGCTGGAATATTGCTAAAAGCGGCGTAAAACCATACTCACTCACTTACTCATTTTAATAAATGAAAAGATTATATCAATATTAGTGTTATCTTTATATTTCTTATAAATTATTTCATTTCCCTTTTTTTCCCTTCTATATGTCATGCATCATTTTTAAGGCAAATCATTCATATGTTAGTTTTTACATAAACTTCTATCCGGGTTCGATTCCCGACATGGGTACAATGTGTGAAGCCCATTTCTGGTGTCCCCCGCCGTGATATTGCTGGAATATTGCTAAAAGCGGCGTAGAACCATACTCACTCACCCACTCACTCACTCACTGCGGCACTGGTCCGTGCAGGTAGGAACAACGTATCAGAAACTGGCTCAGGGACAGGTCGCCGTCTCTCAGGTCCCCTCAGCACCTCTCGCACTGGCTTCCATACGGATGTGTGATCGGAGTCTACCCTCTAGGATCTGTCGTCTTTGAGCTGGCAACATCGAAGCTTCTATAAGTCTATTATATACAATTTATAGTCAAACTAATTTCTCTAAATCATCATATATATACTCTGCCAAAAAAGAAACGCAAAGTAGTTAAATGGTAGATATCTGATAGAGTGCAGCCGACATCCATACAGAATTGATACCAAGAATGGATTGGCCATTTCTGCATTGACGGGGATTGATTTGTGTGGAAAGAATGAGGTACTGCAGAAATTTGGAGAAAAAACACAAAAACACAACCACCCAAGAGTCTGGCATCGAAACACACCAACATGACATGCACGTGCACCATCACTTGTTTGGCTATAAAAAACCCGTTGGGTTTTCATTTGCATGCCATCACAATCTCACAGCAGGTGACCCGTGAAGATTCTGGGATAGAATAGGTCTCCAGCAACCCATACTTGCCTTAAAAGGCGACTATGCTTGTCGTAAAAGGCGACTAACGGGATCGGGTGGTCAGGCTCTCTGACTTGGTTGATACATGTCATCGATCCCAAATGCGTGGATCGATGCTCATGCTGTCAATCACTGGATTGTATGGTCCAGACTCGATTATTTACAGACCGCCGTCATACAGCTGGAATATTGCTGAGTGCGGCGTTAAACAACAAACAAACAAACAATCTTACAGCAGGTGAACAGTGAAACATGTCGCGACTAAAGGGAGCCCAAAGCAACAACGCCTACTGTCGACGGCAAACAGGAGAATCATCTTCAGCTGTAGCCAGGTTTTTCCACCTAACACCAAGCACTATTACAAGACCATGGGACCGTTATCAGGCCCACGGGACAACACACGACCTTCCCAGATCCGGTCGACCACGTATCAATAGTAGAGCACAGAACAGATTCATATTACGTGAAAGAACCACCAGGGCCCTCTGCAACTACACTACGGCAATACCAGGAAACGTTGGATATCAGCCACGACAATGAGGACCCGTTTACACACTGAAGATATTCGCGGTAGGCGACCAGTTCGAGGTGTCATTTTGACGGCTGCGACGTCAGTGGTGTCAAGGTCACAGAGTATGGCCACTACTGCGATGGTTTAGTAACCAGTCACGTTTTATGCTTCGCCGTGCGGATTGTAGCCGCCGTGTTTACAGGCGTCGGTGGAATGCTATACACGAAACTGTATACAGTAAGTGGGCAGATGTGGTGGTGGTAGTGTGATGATGTGGGCAGCCATCTCCTACACTTGAAGAACATACTTGGTGTAAGTTCTGGGGAATGTAACGACACAACGTTACACGAATGAGATTTTTCGGTCACACGTTCTTCCCATTATGCAACAATCGAACGTCATTTTCCAACTAGACAACGCCCGACCTCACACGGCAAGACTGACAACAGCCATATTCACATAATTCTGGGATCACAACATCCAGGTCCTGCCATAGCGTTCCAGGTCTCCAGATTTAAACCCAATGGAACATTTATGGAATACACTGGACCAACGACTGCGAGCACGTCAGTAACAACCACAGAACCTCCGACAGTTGGCACAAGCACTGCAGGCAGAGAGGGTGAACATTCCCCAGGCCACAATTCGGGATCTAATTGCTTCCATAGGACGACGATGCCAGTCAGGTTTGGACTCTATGGTGGGTATATGAGGTATCGAGAACAGATGACCTTCACCTTTTTAATCTCCTGTTCCACGTGTGCCGTAACAGGCGACTATGCTTGTCGTTAGAGGCGAATGACGGGATCGGGTGGTCAAGGTCGCTGACTTGGTTGATGTATGCCATCGTATCTCAAATGCGTAGTTCGATGCTCATGATGCCGATCACTGAATTGTCTGGTCCAGGCTGGATTATTTACAGTGCGGCGTTAAACAACAAACAAACACAGTATAGCTGATACAAGAGACCATATAATCTATTATATGGTCTCTGCTGATACATACCATTTTAGAAACAATAACCTTGATCAAATGGATTGTAACGTTTCATGTTTTAGTAGACAACACATTCAGTGTACCAATATAAAACCTCTACCCCAAGCCAGGGGCACGGGGGACCCATGCAGTCGTCTAAGGCGCCGCGATTCGTTGTGCTAGTTACGTCCCTTGGACACTCCAAAAATCCATGATTATGTTTCTAGGTTTGTCAGCACTTACCCGTGCTCGTG